GAGAGGTCTGCGCGCCATGTGGGACCCTCCTCCGGTGGCCGAGTAGCAGCCGGGGATCGAACCGGCGCCGCAGAGGCCACGGGCAGCTTTGCTGCCCAGCGCTCAACCGCTGCCCCACCGGGGAGGCCCTAAAGATATACTTTTTAAAAGTCTTTAAAGTCTAATTTTATATAACTCACAGAGAGAATAATTAAAGCTTAAAAATCTAAGAAACAAAAAAACTTAATTAAGAAGTAGATGAAAGCAATATCTTTAGATAATATATATTAAGGATTATCCCCAGATTGTCTTATCTATATTTAGGAATGAGAAACATTTTTTCATTAAAAATAAAAGCACCTTAAGGAAAAGATGATTTAAATACTCTATTCAATTAAAACATATGATATACTTTCAATTCAATGTACTACTGAATTGAAAAGAAAATAATAAATAGTTGTCTCTTATATAAACAAGAATGATTTAGCAAATGGGGCACTCTTATTACAATTGACTTTTCAATAATGGGTGGGGGGAGTCAGAAACGCTGACCCCTGAACAGTTGAAAATCCAGGTGTAATTTTTGACTCCCCAAAACTTAAGTACAGTCATCTCTTTGTATCTAGGGGAGTACTGACAGCGGACGCCCCTCCCCCTCCCTCCCTCTCACTCCCCCCTCCCCCACTCCCAGGGTGTTTGAATCCATGAATAAAGAACACTCAGGAAAAAAAAATCCATGTATAAGCAGACCTGCAAAATTCAAACCCATGTTGTTCAACAGTCAAGTGTATATTGATTCTCTCCAGAGGGTATAAATTTATGCCTCTTCCTGGCTGGTATGAAATATTTCTTAAGACTAATCATCTCCTTTGAGATGATTGGTTAATCACTTGTGGATAACAAAACATAAGGTTATATTCCTATTTTGTACCAATAGCCAAACACATTGCAGATAAAGAGTGAATGTTTAAAAAAATAAAGTCATAAAATTATCAGAAGAAAATGCTTGTGAATATTTATAAAATCAAGGGTGGAGGATGAGAGGATGGGCAGGACTTTCAAAACATCACCAACAGTGGAAAATGTAAAGCAAAGATTGATACACCATGACACATAAAAATAAGCATTATACTTACTTCCACATGTAACAAATCAACTGGTATAGCTGAGTTTATGATGAAAAGCAGTAAAGAGACAATAACGATTTCCACAAAAAATTGGCAAAGGAAGTGAATAAACAAAAAGAACACAATGGCCAACGAGTGCATTTTAAGATGTTCAAAAATTTCTCTAATCACAGAATGCAAATTAAAATGAGATGCCATTTTTTTACATACCCAATTAACAAGAAAAATTTAAATGTAGCAAGGCAATATGTATATCTAAAAGTTTGTTCACATTTCAAGATAGCAATTTTTCTTTTAGGATTACCTTCAGAGTTTCTAGAATTATCCAAAAAATTGTAAAAACACAAAATGATTTAATTATAAGGATATTCCTTATGGCTTTATATATAATGCAAAATTGGAAATAGTTGGAAATGCCAAAAATAAATTATGGCATTTTAAACACTGCAATATTATATGGCCATTAAAACACCATTAGCATATTAATAATACTGAAAAATGCATCACACATGGAGTTTAAAAGCAGTTTACCAGTTTATCTATAATATAATCTATTTTTTCAGTAAGTTACAATTTCATTTAGCATGCTTTCTATAATGAATGTGTATTTCTTCTCTAGTAAGAAATGATTTTTATGAAGCCCCCCCAAATTACATTATCTCCTTCTGTTCTAATTCTGTATCCCACAAGAAAATTTATGATTACCAACCTCTTTTTCCTAGGTATTTCCACAACAGAAAAGGTAGTGCCCTGCCCTGACGAAATGAACATTCTTGCAAAGCGTTACCTCCCATTGTAGATTTCTGCTGAAACATAAAGCATGGAAAGAAAATTAGAAAGCATGAAAGGATGGAAACAAAGTGGTTGAAAGGGAAGAAAAGAACACTAGGAGTAAAGTATGAACATCAGGGGCCTGGAAAGAAGCTAAAGTGTGGTCAAACATGTTTGCAACCCCTTCTAAAAACGTGAGTCCTAAATGATGAAAAGTAGTAAAAAGGTGACAGTCACTGTAAGGAAATATAGACAAAGGAGGTGGCTAAAAAAAATCTACAGACCACCAACCTTTAAAAATAATGGTTAGCCACTGTTCTAACTAATTACAAATTCCAATGAACGTACAATAAAAAGCTTATTTTGGAATACAACCTCCTGGGCTGTGCCCAGAATAGCTAGCTTTCTATTGTCTGATTTGTCCTCAAAATACATCCTAGCACACATTCCTATGTATTTATTACAGTGCCTCCTCCTGAGTTAAGTTACTGTTTGGTAAGACCAGATTTAAATGCCCCATTGCTAGGGCCTCCCCTGGTGGCGCAGTGGTTGAGCACTGGGTTGCGAGGCTGCCTGCAGCCTCTGCAGCGCCAGTTCGATCCCCGGCCACCGGCGAGGGTCCCACAAAAAAAAAAAAAAAAAAGCCCCATTACTATCAATGAATACACCCATGAACACAAATTATTTTCAATAGTCTCAGTAAGGGAAATCCTTAGCCAAGAGCTTAAATATTACAATTTTAGGTCCACTCTGATTTGGGGAAGAAATGCTTAAAAGGTTCAAGGCCTGGAAGATAGTCTTGAAAATGAGCTAGCCTGAAGGCACTGGCAGCCGGGAAGGCAAAAGGAGGCAAGAGCTAATACCACTGTGGACTGATACCAGGACAAGTCTGTCATAATTCTGCATTCTGAATGTAAGTAATTTAAGTAGACACTACTATCTTGAGTATGCCTGATAACATAGTAAGAATTTGGTGTAAACTGTTTAAACAATCATGTAAAGGAAAAAAAACTATCATGCCTTTTTTAAAGTTAGTTCACTTTATATAGAAAATAAACCTGAATTTCCTACCTTGTACCATATGTTCCAGAAATTAAAGTTCTCATTGTTAAAATACAACTCTAAAAGCAAACAGAAGAATATTGTGATATCGGAACAGAACAGGACTTTGTCAATAAGACTTACAATACACAAGCATTAAATCAAGAAATTAATGGATTTGACTACATCAAACTAAAGATCCTTGTTCAACAAAGCACCTCATAAGTAAACTTTATAGATGGGTGACAGACTGGGAAAATTGCTTGTACCATCTAAAATAAGTAAGAGATTGATATCTAGAGCATGGGTTGTTCTGTAAACTGACAGTAAATATTTAAGGTTTGTGGGTGAAACAGTCTCCTGTAATTGCTGAACTCTGCAATGGTAGCATGAAAGCAGCCATAGACACTAACAAATGTGGCTGTTTCAGTAAAATCTTCTTTACGAAAATGGAGGGTGAGTAGGATTTGGCCTGCAGGCTGTATTTTGTCAATCCCTAAAATACAAGAAATGGCAATCAGTAAGAAAAAATTAGGATACTCAATGGGAAACTGGACAAAGGATATTAATAAGCAATTAGCAGAATGAAAAACCCAAATGGCTAAACAAGTATATGGACACAGAACTTAATAATCTGAGAAATGCTGATGAAAAGGAAATGTTATTTTATACCACAGATTTTTCAGAATGTGTAAGCCAGATAATTCAGGTGGAGGTAAAGGTGTGGGGACACATGGAATCCTCATGCCTTACCCTTGAGTGTTAGTTACAGAGAGCCATTCTGGAGAGCAATCTGACAGTGCTAAGTGAAATAAAGCATATGCTTCCTTACTCCAAAGGAGAGCTCTCTGGTAAAGGGTGGTAGGCGACCTTGTAACATTCGTACATTATCTTTGTAACTAGAGACAATATACAGCTCTATTTTTCTCACTTCTCTACTAAGAAAAATACCATCACAGATTGTCCCTAGTCTACAGATCAGCTGGTATAAACTACTTTCTACCAATGTATTTTAGACATGAAGAAAATCTTGATATTCTTAAACATCTAATTCTTTTACAATTTAGAGCTTCCTATCTCTAAAAGAAGTGACTTTATGATGACTGATTAATGGGCTGCAAAATGCACATGAATGTAAGATAAAGTGAGACTTCAATTTTATATAACGGAGAACCAATTACAGGGTTCTACTCTGAAATCCCTGTTTTCGTTCTTCTGCCGTGCCAGCAGTACTTCAATAGAAAAGTTTGAGAAGCATTTAGCTAAAAAGAAGGGAAACTGTTGAGTATCCATCAATCTTTAGCTAAATAAAACTAAGATTTAAAGGAAAATTTTCTTTCTTTAATGGAAAATTAAATTACATAATATAACCTGCTTGGTAAAGAACCACAACTTCTGTTAGTCATTTTTATTTCTACCCCCACCCTGAGTGTAACCTATTGTAGTTTAGATTCTGAAATAGAGGCTTTCCTTTCATTGAATTCATTTGTCAAGGTCTGATAAAATATACAATGGATTATGCAAATCAGTATAGCCTAAACAGCAAGGGAACTTGCAAATGCACTGATTAAAAAAGGTTTATTGTTTCAGAGAAAGTATATCCACAAGCTTTACCATAAAAAAAAAATTGTCATTCAACTCTAATCCAGTGCTGAAAACCACTTAAGAGTCCTGAAATAACTGAAACATTCTTTTTCTTTCCAGTCTTTAATACATATTCATTTACTTAAAAGGTTAAACAAAGCACATGTGTACTATTATTTGAAGTCATTAAACGACAAATAGTTTACATGAATTGCATACTTTAAATAGGTGAACTTCATGGTGTTTAATTATGTCTTGACAAAGCTGCTAAAAAACAAAGTGGTTTAGATTATCAGTCATCTTACCTTATGGCTCTAAAGTGCAGAGGTGAGGCGTGGGATGAAGCCAGCCAGCCAGCCATTTTATATGGCACTTAGTAACCTGAAACGTGTGTGTGTGTGTGTGTGTGTGTGTGAGAGAGAGAGAGAGAGAGAGAAAGAGAGAGAGAGAGAGAGAGAGAGAGAGAGAGAGAGAGAGAGAGAGAGAGAGAGAGAGAGGTGGGAGGGAGGATGGCTCTGTGGACAAGACAGGAAGCACTAAGGCAAAACGTGAAGAAGAACCAAATGTCATAGTCGAAACACTTTCTTTCAGAAATTTCTAGAAGCATAGACTGACATTGAGACTACTGTTAGAGACTAATGAATGGCAACAGGATGGTCCTTTTTCTTCATCCATAAACAGACTATTCCAAAAGAGTAGCAAGAGCACAGGAACCCCATTTATAAAGACTCCTTTCTGTGGCCTGCAACAACTTTCATATACAGAAGTCACTCGAGTCAAAACTGGAGGCTGCTTTTAGAATCGAATTTAAAACAATTAAAATCATACTGTATGTAAGGGGAACAATTTTATGGAAAATAATATAAATTTTTAAACAAAGACAATACATAGATGATAAAACATACAATGATGGTACACATTTATTCTTTTATTGCTAAACATCAAATGCCAGTTAACGCTTAAGAATGAACTACAGCACAAAAATTTCTAGAAAAAAATACCCGCACTTCATTAGCATGTGGACATCCAATAAATACCATAGGACAAAGTGATAACTGAGAGCCACATACCTGTGAATCACATGTTTACAATTTACTGTTATAACAAATAATGACCTGGATGAGTGGTCATCCAAAGGCGAAATTTAATTCCATATTTTTTCAAACCGAGATGCTGAAAAGAATATATACATTCTTTACAGATTAGAGGTGATAAAAAAAAAACCTTCAGAAGTGTAAACAAGTCAGAGTAGGAACACTGAGAATAAAGTTTTACTGTTGAACAAAGTGACAACACAGAAAAAACACTTTCTGCAAATCTCCAAAATAATTCATTTTTCGAATTATAAAAACCAAAACAAATGATTTTCCTAAAGATGATGATATACTGGGGATACAAAGACCTTCAAATTTATTTTTTATGTTAACATATTTACAGTAAATATTCAATAATACTTTTTACAACTTACTTAAATAAAAACATGCTTTTCTAGTCCATAAATAACACTAATTATCCATTCAACCACACTTATTAAGTATTTATGATGTCTCATGCACTGTGCTGGGGATGCAAAGATGAGTAAGACAGTCCTTGCTCTAGAAGTGCCCACAGTCAAGCTGAAAAGTCAACACATAACATTTCCTTTTTTACACAATGAGGTCATTTCTACAGGAATGGAACTGATGTGCTCAATAGCATATTAGAGTGGTCCCCAAATCCAGACCCTATGGAACAACAAACCAAGGTGTTTAACAGTTACAGGAAAATGAGGTGTTTTATTTTTTCCCCAAGTAAAAGAAGCAAATGGGTAGGATTTCCTCTATCAACTTTTTTCTCAGTTAAAAAAAAGCTGTCCTGTACATACACAACATTTTTATTAGCAAGCTGTTTAGTGTATGTAATTTAATTAATGATGTATTTCATGGCATTCCTCAAACTCTACTAGGTCTGAGCATTACTATGTTAATACCCTTTGATCCTGGCTGTCTAAAAAGAGAACAAATGCTGTTTCCTGGGATAAATCAGTAATTTGTAATGCTTTTAGTTGTGATAATAGCTGATAACCTCAAGTCATTGATAACATGTTAAAGTTAGATTGAAGATATAATTTCTGTCTAAGAAGGTAGGTGAATTTGTAATCTAAAGAGTTCCCAAAAATCATTAAAAAGTTTGAGTGCCTAAAGAACAACTCAGTGAGCTGAGAAGGTTGAATCCCATGGACTATTTCACAGATGGAAACTGCTGGAAGTTGGACATGTGGCTGTTCGCTTCATACTGGCCTGTTGACTGCTCAGGTCTCCCAGGGCTGCATCTCCAGTTCAAAAGTCCTGGAACTAGCAGGGCCCTTTCAAGCTCAAGAGTCAGTTCCCTGGTTCTGGCAAATCCACACTGGCACTCATATGTAGCCATTGTTACTATACTACCGATTCTTCTGTGGGCCCACAGAGGTAGCTTAGGGGAAAGAGGGGGAGAAACACAGAGAAACATGGGAGCCACTGGTGAGGACAGAGCCCGGCTCAAGGCTTAAAGTAGTTGCTTCTTGGAGAGAAAACCAGGAGTTGGGCCCTCCGCAGCCCCAGCTCTGTAGAGAATGGTAAAGCGGACCACAGAAAGTCCTGTGATCTGTCTTGTGATCTGTTGGAAGAAATGGCTCAGTTCTGAGGTTCAACCCTAACTGCCTCTGCTCACATGCTGCACTTGGGAGACGCTTCCTGCAGCTCGACTGAAGGCGGAGGCCAGCGCTGCTTTTGTAAGGGCGCCGGGCACATTGCCCAGAGGCAACTCTTGCGGGGTAAAACATGTCTCATGATATTAAAGGCCCTACCTCCTACTTTGTTCATTTATTTGGCATCATTTGACAAAGATTTTCCCTTTCATGTCAGCAGATTCTTTTATACAATTTTATTAATTTAATTATAATCAAAACTTAGTTGTCAGAGTAAAAAATAATATACCATAGAGTTTTAAAATACTTTTCAAACAAGACAAAGGACAAGAGACAGAGGCTAAGAAAATGGTCATCCTTCCAGTTAGTCAAAGTCTGTTGTCTCCTTCAAATCTGGACTAGTGATACTTTTCTAAAGAAATTTTCCCCAATTAATCACACCCAATTCTATCCTCTTTTATACTATTTCAACAGGGTGTGTAGTAACACAAAATGGTTTAACATGAATTTACACTTGGTTGGAAACTGTTCCACAAGTATCTGAGGTTTTAAGTTCAGTCTTTAAAATGAGAATGTCGTCAGGAACTAGGCCTTTCCTTTCTTGCTTCTCCCCCATCCCAGAGTTTGGATACTCTGGATATAGAAGGAACTTAAAGTTGTTGGCTAACATGTAATTTTAAGGAAACACTTGATAGTCTCATATCAAGTAAAGTTTTCAATATTGTGTCTTGTAACTCAGAGATTCTACCAGATGAGTGTGGACATTATCGTGCTGTGACCATCCAGAGTCCCAGGGTCACGTTGGCAGCCAGCAGGATGCTGCCACCAAGCAAAATGAAAAATCCTATCAGGTCTTTGACATCATTGTCTCCAATTACTGAGGTAAGAGTGGCATCCAGGAAAGAGTTTAAAATCCACTGTCCATCCAAAGCAAAGCAGGGAACTGCATTAACAATAGCCAGAGCTCCTGAGAGGGAAATCAGGTACCTGGTTAAAATCAGTTAAGGAGGCTCAAGTGACATCTGAGTGGAAATCTCATTTCTGGGAGTCAAAGGAAGATATTTTACTAGGACTGGATTTGGGATTACAGTTAATTTACTGCCTTTCTTTAAATATCTGCTTACCGGGCCTCCCTGGTGGTGCAGCAGGTTTAGAGCTGCGCTGTGAAGCTGTCTGCAGCCTCTGCAGCGTGGGTTCAATTCCCGGCCGGCCAGGGAGAAACCCACATGGCGGGGCAGACCTCTCCTGCCTCGCCCCCTGCTCCCCTCAGCAGTGTCTTCGGTCCGTCTGCCTGTTCTGCTCCCCGCTTTCTCTGGTGAATTCTCTCACCCTCCCACATCTCTGACCTGTACCCCAGTTCTTGTATAAATCAATAAATCTTTAAAAAAAATATGCCTACCAGTATATCTCTACTATTTTTTTTTTTTTTTTTTTTTTTTATAGAGGCATGCTTTATTTATTTGTTTGCTGGTTTTGTTTTGTTTTTTGTTTATACATGCACTGGGTACAGTCAGAAGCGCGGGAGGGTGAGAGAATTCACCAGAGCCAGAGCGGGGAGCAGAGCAGGCAGAAGGACCGAAGTACACTGCTGAGGGGAGCAGCGGGCGGCAGGAGAAGTCTGCACGCCATGTGGGACCCTCCTCCGGTGGCCGGGGAGCAGCCGGGGATCGAACCGGCGCCGCAGAGGCCGCGGGCAGCTTCGCAACCCAGCACTCAACCGCTGCGCCACCGGGGAGGCCCCAGTATATCTCTACTATTTAAAACAAATGATTTGTATTACTTTTAAGTTCAATAACCTTGTCTAGAAAAATAAAGGCCAAGCACTTGTGAATAAGGTAATATAACGAAATCCTAGGAAGACTAAGTCTATCTAGTCCTTTAATGATACAAGGGAAAGAAAAATGTAGAAGGAATAAGGGGAAATTACTTCTTGAGCCTTACAATGTATTATCTTATAATAGGAAGCAAAGATCTTGGCCCCTTGAACTCTATTATACTGTCATCTCTAAGGTTAGAGCATAACTATAACATAAATATAACTCTATTTTACCATTATCTCTAAGGTTATAGCATAAATCTCTCTAAAACAAAGTAGCAGTCTACAAAGTACAATCTTGACTACACATTTTTTAGTAACTTTTTCCATTTCATTTTTTTGCAAATTATTGCGAGAAATTAAAAAGGTTTATAGTGACAAAAATAAAGAACCCCCCAAACTGCTCAGTTGATTACAATACTATATAATAATTAATTTTTTAAAAATCTCCTGCTTTATACACAAACATAATATGCTAAAGACAACATGAACTCTTGTCCCCTGACTTGCTATTTAAGTGGTAGAAACAGGCATGATCTCTGTTATGCTTTCCCCCATTTGGTTTGAGCTACAGGCTTAGAACTGGCAGAAGTCGGGCCTCCCCTGGTGGCGCAGTGGTTGAGTGAGGGGCTGCGAAGCTGCCTGCAGGCTCTGCAGCGCCGGTTCGATCCCTAGCCACCGGCGAGGGTCCCACAGGGCACGACAGACCTCTCTTGCCGTGCCCGCTGCTCCCCTCAGCAGTGTATTTCATCACTCTGCCTGTTCTGTTCCCCGCTCTGGCTCTGGTGAATTCTCTCGCCCTCCCGTGCTTCTGACTGTACTCAGTGCTTGTATAAATAAATAAATAAATAAATAAATAAATAAATAAATAAATAAATAAATCTTAAAAATAAAAAAAATAAAAAAAAATAAAAAAAACTGGCAGAAGTCATCACCAGTATCTGATGCTTTCATCCTTTATAAACTTACTAAAAAGTTTTCAAACTGTACATTTAACTCTCAGTTTGTATCCTGGGTTCCTTCTCTTCCACTTCTTAACCTTTCTCCCTCCTTGATCAATCTCTCTCTGATAACTTCTTCCCTCCCACATCTGATCTTTTTCAATGTTAAAATCTCTATTTTAGTTGTTAGCATTAATCGATACTTGTAAGGTCTCTGCATGCTCTAATCAAGGTAAGACTACTCAAATTCCAAGTAACACATTTTAAAAACATTTCACATTAGAAAGGATACTTGACAAATGTTTCCACAACCACAGGCAGATCTATGCTTAGAAAGTTGAAACGTGGGATAAAACTGGTGATGCTCACTAAAAAGGAAAAACAAGGAATAATGAACATAATTCATACCAGATAAGCAAGAACACTGTGAATTTTACCATATGGTCAAAAGTTGGGCTAGCTTACTAAAGTGGTTGAGAAAGCTCTCCCCAAGCATATGCAGGCAGGCTATTTAGTCCTACAGAGAAAAACAATCGGTTATTGTAAAACATCTAATAAAAATAGCAGAATGCTGAATTCATGTCCCAGCATATTTTGGGGATGAGAATGAGATCAAGTTGATTATACACCAAGTATGACTATCAAATACAGAGAATGAATTAAGAAAAACGCAGAATTTACTTCAAAATAGTCCTTAACTTTTCAGAGGTGTATCCTTAAAACCATAAGAATTCCAACTATTGTAACACTTGACCTCTTTCTGGTTTTGGTTTTTTCTTCCTTGCAAAAGCGAGGATTAAGATGAGAGAATTTTGAGGTTTCTTCTACTCTGTAGATTCCACAATCCTGTTTTTAATAAAAACATTTAAAAACTCTCCTGTAATTAGGTAGAATCCATAGTATACATTTCTGAATTACCCTCAATGAGGACATTTCTTCATTTGCTGAGGCTGTATTTAATATTTGCAGTCTAGAGTCATTTCATGTCAAACTAATAAACAAGAAGAGTGGCCCAGGTTGTATCTCAGGATGTGAGTTATAAAGCAAGGAGGAGGGCCTCCCTGGTGGCACAAGGGGTTAGTTAAGTCTCAGCACTATCAAGCTATTGGCAGCCACTGCAGGTCAAGTTGGATCCCCGACCAGGGAGCTGACCTACATGGCACAGCAGACTTCTCCTGGCTTGCCTGCAGCTCCCCTCAGCAGTGTATTTCAGTGGATCATCCTGCTCTGCTCCCCACCTGTCTCTGGTGAATCCTCTCACCTCCCTGTACCTCTGGCCTACACCCCACTTCTTGTATGCATACATAAATAAAAATAAATTTAAAAAAATAAAGCAAGGAGGGGGCCTTTTAAAGAGTATTATGAAACTCACATGTCCATAAACTGATGAATAAAAAAAGATGTGGCCTATCCATACAATGGAACATTATTAGTCATAAAAAGGTGTGAAATATTGACACAAGCTATAAGAACATATCTTGAAAATATTAAGTGAAAGAAGCCAGTCATAAAATATTCCATTTATGTGGGAATGTGCAGAACAGGCAAATTTATAGAAACAGAAAGTAGATTAGTGGTTGCCAAGAGCTGGGGGCTGTTGGCGAGAAATAAGGAGTGACTGACTAATGGATCTGGAATTTCTTTTTGGGGTGATGAAAATACTCTGAATTGGACTGTAGTGATGGTTACATAACTCTGAATATATTAAAACTTATTGAATTGTACCCTTTGAAAGGATGAATTATATGGCATGTGAATTGTATTTCAATAAAACTTTTATAAAAAAGGTAATACAGAAACATCTTTTGTACAATGAAATGAGTAAGACTATATGGTCTTCAGCCACAGAGAAGCTGCATATTTAGTCCAATCATGTTGCCACTGTCACTGGTTATAAAACTATATTCTTAACCTGTTATGGCCTGGCTATGAAATTATATTCATATAAAATTCATGTGTCATGCACAAATTACTTTATGGTCAAATTCCTATGATTTTTGGCATTCTCTAGGGTCTGCTGCTCTTGCCACAGCTTTGGGAGCATGGAGAAATTTCAGAGGACATCTGAGAAATCATCTGCAAGACCTGGATATAATGGTGATGTTGTCACGCTCCATAGGCAGAGATGGGAATCAGATCCATCTTGCTTATAAATTCTGATTCTTTTGCTACTTCCTAAATTTCATTTAAGGTTTAAGAACAAGTTAATAAGACTTTGAAAAGTGAACAAACGATAATAACTAAATGATCGCAAGGATTTGTACTGAGTTTCTACCACCAAGAACAATGACATCTTGGTTTTTCTGAGGGTTTTTCACAGTAACACCCACCTGTGTAGTGAAGGTGCAGTGGGTGTCCCACATACAACATGTCGATTTGGGGTGGATGCTTCACTTTTATCAGGCGAGTATGAGTTTCCAAAGATGGTATTATACAGAAACTTGAACTTGAGTCTTTTTTACAATCTTTATTGGTTCTACAAACTTGGGTGGCTTCAACTGCTTTCCGGGCAGGCAGACATGTATGCTGTAAATAAAAAAAATAATTATCAATATTCAATACAATTTACTAACAAGAAAAACACCAAGTTACAATCCTTCAGTATTTTTCTTGTCACCTAGCATAAAAAGAACAAAACTCATATTAAAGAAATGTCATTTATGTGTAACTACTATAAATTAGATTTGTGTATTCCACATCAGAGAAGACACTACTGCTATAAATTTTAAGATTTTTGGATGAAATGTAACATGTGAAATGTACAGATTTTAGTAAAATGATACAAAGCAAAACGGTGTTTTCATAGATTCCACTTTAGTTCTATATGCTTATTTTAAATTTTTAAAAAGAGACAGTATAATTTTTTAAGATTTTATTTATTTATTTTTGCATAAAAGAACTGGGGTGTAGGCCAGAGGTGTGGGGTTGAGAGGATTCACAGGGACAGAGTGGGGAGCAGAACAGGATGATCCACTGAAATACACTGCTGAGGGGAGCAGCAGGAGAGACAGGAGAGGTCTGCTGCGCTGTGTGGATTAGCTCCCTGGCCGGGGATCGAACTCAGGCTCTGGCAGTGATAGTGCTGAGACTTAACCCTTAGGTCACAAGGAGGCCTCTATATGCATATTTAATTACATTTTTAAATATTTAATTCAATTTTTTTAAATTGAAGTAAGACTGCATTATGACATTATAAAGGTTTCTGATGTGTGGCACTGAAAATCATCATGTGTATATATCTGTATGATTATTTTGTAATAATTATATCAGAGAAGCAAGGCTGCTTCAGAGACAACTTACCAAACGCTTATTAAAGTTATTCCTGTAAGAAAAGCACACATCTGTGAGGCTGTGGTTGTTACAGCATTCGGTCGAGCCATCTAGCCGCTTGTAGGCTAAAGAGAAAAAGCTTATTAGAATCTGTTATAGAGAGAACAGAAGGAAAAAAAAGATTCCATTGTATAGATGTAATAAAATTTTTTCTTTCAAGACAAAAATAGTAAGTTAAATGGATGGATTCAGAAATGACTGTATAATTCAGAGTTCAGTTTGAAGGCTACTGGCTGCAGTTTGATTTGATGCTGCAGAAAGAGACATGCCCAATTTGAAATCAAGAAGCAGCACACATTCTTGGTTAGTTGCTGTTTCCATAAAACTTACCCACTCATCAAGCCAGAATTCCAGGGTCTCACTAGGTTTTACAGTAACAATAGTGGGTCAAGCATAAATATTCAATAAGCTAGATGCCCTAATGCCACTTGTCCATTACCATCACTGAGCTCCTGTGCCAACTCGAATACCAGTTAGGAGAGCGGGCAGAGGATGCATAAGGGACCATAATTCCTAAAGATGTCCCCATTATCAAAGATCTATCCCACCTCCAAACTTACTTTGGGGCTTTCCCTACAGAACCAGGGTAGCCCAATCTGACCCACATATGTGCACATATCTTTGCCTACATACCAGTAACTCACCATTTTTGGAAGACACAGAAACAGGGCAACTATTTATTTCCATTATTTGTTCATTACTTAAAGTTCTCTGGTAGACTGTTTTACTTGTATTTGGGACAGAATAAGGAAACTCACTGATAGAGGTGGGACAACAAATGATTTCTCCATATTTATTTTGGAAGGTTTCTTGCTTTCAGCACATTCAACTTGCAAAGCATAAATTGATGTATGGTGAGGACCAATTCAACTTAGTATCTTATATACATACCACCATACCCACATGGGCCGAAGAAGGCAGATTTAGGAGCAGTGTTCTCCCCATATTCCAGTACTACAAAAAGCTGTTCTATTAGAAGAGTCTGCAGGAGCACTCGCATGCAAATGTTACGCATGTAACTTTATAACAATTTTGTATTTCAGTGAAAGGTTTTAGTTTGTTCCCCCCCCCCCACACACACACAATGACTCATTTGAGAAAGACAGCTTGTCTTAGTTAGAGTGGGATCTCCCCTAGCCCTGCACATTTTGCTGCTGTATCTCCTTGGGAACACAAAGAATAAAACAGAGGTGAAACAAACTAGCTCATGCATCAATATCTCCTCTGCATGGGTGAGCTTGTTTTTTTTATCACAGCTGAATGGCTATTTAAGTTTAGCATGGTAGTATTTAAAATAGGAAGCAAATTGTGAACATCTAATGAACATTTTAAAAGATTTATTTATACATACAAGAACTGGGGTGATAATCACTTGCCTGCTCTAAGGGTCAAATATGAGGTAAGAAGTTGTTTAGGATTTTGTTTTTTTCAATCAACCTAAAGCCCTCAGTGTTTTTTCTCTCTGATCTGCTGCTACCCGCTCCCACCCCCCTCCATTTTTACCTCCTCAGTCTTTCTCTGATTATCTATTCCCACTTGGTGCAAACTTTAATTCCTTCTCACCTGACTCTTTTGAACAGAATCCTGAGTCTGGCTTGTTCACTACCTAGCTAGAAAACCTGTCCTCCATGTTGAATCCTTCAGACTAACCTTCCAACATAGAACTAGAGAGTAGAAATCCTCTAATCTGAAATTTCCAGTCCCTGCACTGCTCTCAAATAGTCTATACCTCATAGCCTAAATCTTAAAAGACTTCTGCTTTTATAGCATTTCATCTCATATTATCCTCTTGTTAAGTCAAATAACTAGCAGTTCCCTGACCATCTTTTATTCTATGGTGTCAAGGTTCATTTCTATCTTGGCCTCTTGAAATTAAACTCACTATTGAGGTCCATGTCAAGGGCTACTGCTATAAAACCTGCCCTCATCTTCTCAGTCAAGATTGGAGGTCCCAGAGGCTTTTATGGGTTCGACTTAACTCTAGGAGATTAGAATTATCTCTTAAATATCCACGGGCTAGGAGACAATTAGAAAAAATTAAGACAGGGGCCTCCCCGGTGGTGCAAAGGGTTGAGACACAGCACTATGAAGCTATCCGTAGCCACTGTAGCACAAGTTCGATCCTCGGCCAGGGAGGTGACCCACACGGTGCAGCAGACCTCTCCTGCTGAGCCCGCTGCTCTCCTCAGCAGTGTATTTCAGTACAACTGCCTGTTCTGCTACCCACTCTGTCTGGTGAATCCTCTTAATCCCCGCATCTCTGGCCTGCACCCCAGTTCTTGTATGTATAAATAAATCTTTTTAAAAAATTTTTTATCTTTTACATCATTGTTCATTTTTGAACAATATTTGCTTCCCCCCTCAGGTGTAGTCCCCATAGACTTTCCTTCACCAATGCACCTGTGCACCATCACCACAGTCCCCTGTGCTCCTCCCTCCCTCCCTCTCATCCCTCTCCCTCCTCCTCCCCTGCAGGATGTCTCTGATTAAATAAATAAATCTTTAAAAAAAAATTAAGACCCATGCAGTTTGATAATTCCATTACAGGGAGAGCCTGCATACTCTGAATGCACTCTAAGATGGACCTTAAGAAAATCATTGATTTAGTTAAGTCTTAAAAGGATGGTCTACACCAAAGGTGACTTTGGAATAAGACTGGAAAGAAGAGACTTTTTCAATCTATAGTTCATAGTCACCACTATTTTTTGTATTACTAAAATGATCTGGACAATCTTTTTACTATAGCTTATTAAATATATAAATGTAGCTAGAGCTCCAAGAGAGGCAGGTAAGCCTATTCATTCTTTTTCTTTTTTTTTAAAGATTTATTTATTTATTTATACAAGCACTAGGTACAGTCAGAAGCGCGGGAGGATGAGAGAATTCACCAGAGCCAGAGCAGGGAGCAGAACAGACAGACTGATGAAACACACTGCTGAGGGGAGCAGCGGGCCGCCAGAGAGGTCTGCGCACAATGTGGGACCCTCACCCGGTGGCCAGGGATTGAACCGGCGCGGCAGAGGCTGCGGGCAGCTTCACAACCCAGCACTCAACCGCTGCGCCACCGGGGAGACCCAAGCCTATTCATTCTTCATTCTTTTTTTTTTTTTTTTTTTTTAATTAATTAATTTATTTATATAATCACTGGGTACAGTCAGAAGCGTAGGAGGGTGAGAGAATTCACCAGAAGGGAGAGCAGAGTAGGCAGACTGACGAAATACACTGCTGAGGGGAGCAGCGGGCGCCATGTGGGACCCTCGCCCAGCGGCAGGGGATCGAACCGGCGCTGCAGAGGCTGCAGGCAGCTTCTCAACCCAGTGCTCAACCACTGCGCCACCGGGGAGGCCCAAGCCTATTCATTCTTAATGCTTGAGTAGACTTTACTAGCATTGTGACATTTTGGCTTTTGTAATTCAATAACTAAAATTTAAAGAAGAAAAAACAAAAGAAAACAAAAAAATTTAAAGAAAGTGGAGAATAAAGGTAAAGGACTTAAGAAGTGTGAAATAATGAATTATTCTGCTTAAAGAGCACATTGTGGGTATATACCAACCTTCTGTCATCTGTAAAGTTATGAAAGATGGTAACAGGCTCTTGAGAATAGGAAAATTTTACAAGCATTTCCAACTTAAAGAATCAGGTTAGTCCACTGAGCAATCCTAACATCACCACAGAGGAGACGACCAGACGCCATGTGCCTCCTGACACGTGCAATCAGAAGTACTGAGCAATAAGGAGTACTTCACAGGGAGTATTTTTGTCTTCCTGCAAAAGGATCTCGAATCTAATCAAGTCTCTAGATCTAATTACCATTTATACGAGATTGGTGGGGGAGGTCAACTGATTATGGTGGTGACATTCCCAGAATTTGGGAAATTCAAGAAAACAATTGTTGCAAGTTAAAAGAAACCTTAAAAGACATGCCCTATATCTTTTTTTCGAAACAGCACTTTTCCATTTTAGTTTAAATATCTGTCATCATTGAGGCTTGCATCAGGGCATGTGTTTTCTTGAACACACCATTTATTAGCAGGTGAACATTAGTTGCTTTCTCATAAGAATACATAAGGATTCATTCAGTTATTTGCATTTGACTTAATGAGTACATTGTATATTGGGTCTTCAATTGTACTATGGAAATTATTTGGGCATACCTTATAATTTAAACAAGGAGATGGGAAACGTAGACACTAACTAGCTATTAGGAATTATTGTTTATTTTGTTATGTGTGATGGTAGTCCTGTGGTTATGTTTAAAATGTCATTATCTAGTAAAGACATGCTGAAGTTTATGGATAAAATGACAGATGCCTGGGATCCTGCTTTAAAACACTCCCTGCAAAAGTGGGCTGACTGAATGAAAAAACTGTCAAAACATTATCAATTGTTAAAGCTAGAAGAAGCATACATGAGTTTCCATTTACATTATTCTCTTGACTTCTAGGTCTATTTAAAAAGTTTTTGCATTAAAAAAAGTACTTCAGAATGGGTTACACATGGAAGATTATATTTGAAAAAAAAATTAAATAACCAGTTTGTACTACTTTGCCATTATTGTACACAGTAGCTTAGTAAGGTTATTCTAGATTCTTAATCATGATTCCTAACCCTAGTATATGTGTTAAGTATTCAGGACATTTCTTGACTTAAGGATTTAGTCTGTCACCATAATTTGTATTTTCCACCTCTGTTAATAATTTGGGTCCCATAAAGAGCTGGGAGACTAATTTTTCAAAGCTGAAAGAACTCAAAATAAATTTGGCAGCTTCTGAGAATAAACTTGCTTCACCTTGTCGCCTGCTACACAGAACATATCTGGCTTTAGGGGTGTTTTTGGACACTAAGATGACTTTCTCTGGATGCCTGCCACATAAAATAACTCTGCCTCAAACAGCTTTGGATATCCCACCAACCATATAGCACCAGGGCATTTGACGACTGGAATTCAGCTAATTAGCTATAGTTGAGCATGAATGCTGACTTAGCACAAGTGATTTTGAATGCCGAAAGAATTAGATACTAGAGTACTGAAAGTCAAATATGTTATGAGATGAGTTAGAAGTTCAATAACAGTATATAAAAAAGAAAACATACATATCAGTATCCAACTTACCAAGAAGAAAGTTTACTTGTTTGGTCCTATTATTACTTTACTGATTTTCTTAAAATAAGTTAGAACAAAATATATTTATAGACATGGTCTAAGAATTGATGAATGGCAAGTACTGCTGCTTGAAGCATTATCATATACACACCTCTAACTGGGAAGCTCAACTGCTGTAAAGTTGATGCACTTATACAGTAGCCAATTTGGGGCTCATAGGCGATGGTATCGAGGCATTCATTCCAATCTTGCACATTAGTAACAGGGCAATCCTGAAGATGGGTGACAAGGTCTCCCACAAAAAGACCCCTGGGTCCAACGGCAGGTGAGTCCTTGGTAAAGGGCAAATCAGAAAATGCGTGAAGACAAACTGTGATTACACTGAGCAAATAACAGTCAAACACACCAAAATAATAAAATATAATATTCTGAATAATGCAGAAAACAAAGCAGCTATGAATCTAAGATGTGTAATTCTAGAAAATTAACAAAATAAAGCCCAACAATTATAGTTACCCTTCCTACTTCTTCAAGACTTTGATGTTTTTGCCACTGGGAAAAAAAATATACCCAACTTGCCAACTGTTAAGATTAAATTGATTAAAATGATAGAGGCTTTTCCAAACTGCTAATTGAACATTTTTGGTGAAAACAGTCATCACAACGACTTCATTTACCTATATTCTCCACGGATAAGATCACCAGACAAGTCCTTATCCAAATGTAGTCCCAACTAGGCTGACAATCTTCAGCACAAGGAGTATGTGAGCCAGTGTTCAGGCAACCTCCCTCTACTCAATGTCTGAATAGAAGTCTCGCTGCCATGGTAACACTTACTAAGGGAACAAAACGAAGCCTAGGGGACATTAACTTAACCATTAGGAAAGGTTCTGGCAGGCCAGCCTAGGTTTCACCTTTCTTAGGAATAAAGACATCTGACTGAAAGCAAAGCTATAAACAGTAAAGGTTTTAAAAAGTTGATCCACAAACCACAGGTAGAACATTTTGTTATTATCCTTGAAACGCAAAACAGAAACAATTTTCAGTATTTTTGAAAAAGCCAATATGCTTCATAAAAGCATTTGTTTGATTTGAAAGGATATGTAATTTCTTCAGTAGAAAATGAGCATTTAGTGTATGAGGAAAACTAGTATAAAAGTACTTGACATAAATGCTGAGTACAACGCTGAAAAATCTGGCCTAAGTAACTCATTACTTACCTCAGCAACTTCAGTGATAAGCACCCCGACTCCAGTGTAGTAAAATGGCAGGAGAATTATAGGGAGCATAACAAGAGCTAAAATACCCAGGAGTGCAAGGACGAAATTATGCCATATACCTGAAAAGAGGGGGAAAAAAAAAGAAAGAGGGTCAACTTGGGCTAAGATGATAAAGGTATTTGGGCTTTGTAACACTTGGGCATCCTGATAAATTAGTAAAGTGACCAGAAGAGGCTGTGAGGTAGATAGATCTACTTATTAGTTTGACAAAGAGATGTCCAGTTAGCGGTCGCTTCCATTTCGGATACCGAAACCTGAAATGAGCATGTTAACACCAAATTAGGAAGATCACACGCTAATGTGGTTTAATACCAATAGACCCTATACTCTTAATATATATATATAGATAGATCTCATGGAGATCTCATGGAGATCTATCTATCTATCTATATAAAACAGTAATAGAACGAATACCTACTTATTATATACTCCTTTTGGTAAATATATACATTTTTAAAAAGATTTATTTATTTATGCATACAAGACCTGGGGTATAGGCCAGAGGTGCGGAGAGGTGAGAGGATTCACCAGAGACAGAGTGGGGAGCAGTACAGGAGGATTTACTGAAATACACTGCTGAGGGGAGCAGGGTGTGAGACAGGAGAGGTCTGCTGGACCATGTGGATTAGTGCAGCCTGGGGTGGGGGGGTACAGTGTACCCCTGCACAGTGGTACAGGGGATCGAACTTGTGGTACATTGGCTGCTGATAGCTTCGTAGTACTGAGACTCAACCCCTTGCACCACTAGGGAGGCCCCATTAGTAAATATATACATTATTAATTTAAACATACTTTGATCTTTGAGATGAAATCAAAGCTATTCAAAAAGTTAAGATAAAATAATAAACATTCTTGTTGAGCTGTGGTATGAAAATTGAAATGTCACTTAGCTAAAAGATCGTTTGAAGAATTAAACCGTTATGAAGACCAGTACTGTGAGCCAGAGTTTGTATTTTACATCATGTCACAGACCATAACCATCTCTACTATATAAACAGAGATAGTCAGGTGGTCTGGAGCTTGTCCCTACCAGCCTGCATTGCTGACCGCCTGCATCCCTCCTTCAGTGACTTCAGATTGATACCTTGAAAATCGGCCAAAGTGGGGGTATTTACATGACAGAGCTCCTCGTCATCCCCTCCAGAGCCAGGCTTTAAGCATTCACTAGCACAACACAAGATGACCCCTCCCCCATGCCTAGTTTCCCTTCTTCTGGTAGTTTTTCTCCTGGGGAAGGGTAGGGGGCGCTATTAGCACTACTATGCCAGTACGGTTCTCAGTTGTGCAGGGGGAACTGAACCTTACCTTATAGGGTATTGAGCTTTCCTGGCTCCCTTCTACTACATGCCATTAGAGCCCTCCAGTCACTGAGACAACCAAAGAAGGCTGCTCCCTACCCAACACATTCCAAACATCCCCAGGAGGGTGATAGCATCAGTGGTTGAAAATGTAACCTAAAGACATTTCCCAGACTTGAAGGAAGTACCGAGTATGTCTACACGACTGTTTTGGCCAACAGGATGTGAGCGGATGGGATCTCCCTGTCAGACAGGCTGGAATGCAGCAATGATGGAGCTAGACCTGAGTGTAGGCCTTAAGAGCTGCACGATGGGAAGAGGAGAGCTGATTGGCAGACAGAGCCTACCAGCTCTCCTGAGTCCCCAAATCACACAATTCTCCTATCTGCACTGAACTACTTACATTTGGAATGTTTTCTGAGAGAAAAGCCTCTGTTATTTTTAGCTATTAAAGCAGCCAGGTACTGAGGTGGTACATGTTCCATGTACCCTTGTTACATGGTGAAATATTCCTCCTTTTTTTTTTTGAGTATTGTAAGTTAAGTTTCAGAAATATCCAGAGCAAGTTTAGTCCAGGGCACATTGGTAAACGATCTTTTCTAAACACAAGGATTTTTTTTTTATTGTACTTTGCTTTATTATGCTTCAGATATTTCAGCTGTTACAAATTAAAGGATTGTAGTGACTGCAGAGCAAGTCTATGGGCACCATATTTTCAATAACATGCTTATTTCATATCTTGGTGTCATATTTTTTAGTAACGAAGTGTTTTTAAATTAGGACATATACTTTTTTTAGACGTGCTATTGCACACTTGAGACTACAGTATAGTGTTTCTTCTTTTTCTTTTTTTTTAAAAAAAATTTTTTACATCATTGGTCATTTTAAAACAATATTTGCTTCCCCCCACCCCCTCAGGTGTAGTCCCCATAGTTTCCTTCCCCAAGGCACCCGTGCACCACCACCTCAGTCCCCTGTGCTCCCCCCTCCCTCCCTCCCATCCCTCTCCCTCCTCCTCCCCTGCAGGATGTCTCTGATTTATAATGGTCTGTTTTTGCTTTGTTGGGTTTTGTACTGTTATTATTTTTTTACACTGATGTCTTATTTGGTTCCCTATATTCCTGCTATAAGTGAAACCATCTGATATTTTTCTTTTTCCTTCTGGCTTATTTCACTGAGCATAATTCCTTCTAGCTCCACCCATGTTGCTGCGAATGGCATGAGTTTATCTTTTTTGATTGCTGAATAATATTCCTTTGTGTATATATACCACATCTTCTTGATCCAGTCATCTATTTTGGGGCATCTGGGTTGTTTCCAGGTTTTGCCTATTGTAAATATTGCTGCCATAAACATAGGGGTACAGGTGCTCTTTTGAATCAGTGTTTTTGTGTCCTTTGGGTAGATCCCTAGGAGTGGAATTGTATGGTAGCTCCATTTTCAGTAGATTGAGGAACCTCCAGACAGCTTTCCATAGTGGTTGGACCAGTTTGCACTCCCACCAGCAATGTAGGAGAGCTCCTTTTTCACCGCATCCTCACCAACATTTATTGCTGCTTGTTTTTTTGATATGTGCCATTCTCACTGGTGTAAGGTGGTATCTCAATGTGGTTTTCATTTGCATTTCCCTGATAAGGGATGTTGAACATTTTTCACATGCCTGTTGGCCATTGGCATTTCCTCTTTGGAGAAATGTCTTTTAGGTTCTTCTGCCCATTTCTTGACTGGATTGTTTATTTTGTTTTTGTTGACTCGTGTGAGTTCTTTGTGTATCTTAACACAAAGATATTTTTTAAAAACATCAATGGTTACAAACTACGTGCCAGAAACTGTATTTATTTTTTCATTCATATATTTTAGACTGTGTCTTTACCTGCACATTCAAATTTGTTCCATTTCTTATATCACTAGAGAATATTTCATTTTTTAAACATCACTGACTTTCCTCCCATCCTGTCTCAGAGGCTGCCCACAGATCACGAGCCATCAGCTACTTTGGGGCAGGCTGTCTGATGGCAAAATTCACCAAAAGACCAAGTACACCAGACATCACGGTTGGCTAATGCTGAGGATGCCCAGGAATTCAGTGACATGGAGAGGGCGTTTGAAACCCTCATCAAGAACTTCCATCAGGGCCTCCCTGGTGGTACAAGGGTTAAAGTCTCAGCGCTATCAAGCTATCAGCAGCCAGCCACTGAGGAAAGAGATGATCCCCAGCCAGGGAGCTAATCCACATGCACAGCAGAGGATGTCTCACCCGCTGCTCCCCTCAGCAGTGTATTTCAGTCAATCTACCTGTTCTGTTTCCCGCTCTGTGTCTGGTGAATCCTCTCACCACCCCCCTTCCCCCGGCACCTCTGGCCTGTATCCCAGATCTTGTATGCATAAATAAAATAAATCTTAAAAAAAAAAAAACAAACTTCCATCAGTCCTCTGTGGAAAGTGGGAAGGAGACATCGCATCTGAGCTACAGAACTTGGTCACCCAGCATCTGCCCCACCTCATGGCAAGCAACTGTGGACTGGAAGAGAAAATATCTGACTAGGGTAGCTGTAATAACTCTTAACTGGAGTTCGGGAGTTTCTGGGTTGGAGAAGCAGCTGAGTGTAAAGACAGAGAGCTCTGTTCAGGGGAGTTGAGAACCTTCCCCTGAATTCTTGAGCGAATGCTGGGGAAAGGGAACCTTGCAGACTATAGGCCTGCAAATAAAACAACTCTCCCCACCACCCAAACCACCCTATACTCCAGTCTGCACTGCTTCACTGCTGCAAGGGTGGCTTCTTAATGGCCCTGGTGGGGATGGTGTCTCTGTTCATTTCACTCCTGGGGGTTCCATGGAGCTAATGGGTCCAGGAGTCCCCATCAGAGAGAGGCTGGGGGGCTGGTTGGGGCCAGGATGGATATAAAGGAATAAGGGGCCTCCCCGGTGGTGCAGCAGGTTGAGCGCATTGCTGTGAAGCTGTTTGCAGCCTCTGCAGCGCGGGTTCGATTCCCGGCCAGCCAGGGAGTAACCCACATGGCACAGCAGACCTCTCCTGCTTCGCCCGCTGCTCCCCTCAGCAGTCTTTCGGTCCCGTCTGCCTGTTCTGCTCCCCACTCTGTCTCTGGTGAATCCTCTCACCCTCTCACACCTCTGGCCTGTACCTCAGCTATTGTATAAATAATAAAAATAAATAAATCTTAAAAAAAAAAAAAAAAAAAGGAATAAGGATGTTATAGGGACCAAGCCATTGGGAGTGGTGGGAGGGCAGAGAGGGGCAGGGCTATGGGAAATGATTTGAAGAAGGGGACCAGAAAATAGGGCTGGATGTTCAGTACTAAAATTCTCCAAGAATTTACCTCTCCTATTTCCTTCCCCAACACCAACGATAGTGCCTTTCCAGTGCGCTCTCTTCCTGTCTCTACCTCTGCCTGGGTCTCCTCCTAAGACTTTGTCCCTGGGCTAAGACAGGGGAGGAGAGAGCAGGGTGGGGGAGCCTTTGGGAACAAGAGGACCAACTGGGCTTGGGCATTTACAGAATAAAAGTTGTATCACTTGATTAACTGAAACAGTGAAAAACAAAACTCCCCATACTGAGTTATTTGTAAGGTTGCCTACCGGTGATCACTTGGGATGTTTTAACTTTATACACTTGCTGCAACAGCTTGGTACATTGTTGTCACACAGCTAAGTAAGGATACATCCACAAGGGTATGGAAAGTTACATAGACGTGGGATTGAATGAAAAATATGTGCAGTAACAGTTTACTTTCTAGTTTTTCTCCCTGCCTCCTTGTTCAGTTTCCCTAATTCCTCTTATAAGTGCAACCATCCGATATTTTTCTTTTTCCTTCTGACATTTCACTGAGAATACAAAATGAACAACAATGTAAAAAAACCCTGTATTTTTTAAAATGTGCATTAAAAATTGACCTCCAGGGCCTACCCTGGTGGCGCAGGAGGTTGAGCGCCCAGCGCTGTGAAGCTGTCCACAGCCTCTGCAGCATGGGTTTGATGCCGGCTGGCTGGCGAGAATCCCACATGGCGCGGCAGACCTCTCCTGTCTCGCCCGCTGTTCCCCTTAGCAGTGTATTTCAGTCAATCTGACTGTCCTGTTCCCCGCTCTGTCTCTGGTGAATCCTCTCACCCTCCTGCACATCTGGCCTGTAGCCCGGTTCTTGTATGCATGAATAATCTTTTAAAAAAAAATTGACTTCCAATGAGTTTGCATTAACTTATGTTCTCATAATTGGCATGTTTCCCCACCCTCTGAACAAGGCTGGATGCTATCATAATTTTAGACTCTGCCATCTGCCAGGTGAGAAGTAATCTGTCTTATTTTCTATTTCTTTAATTATGAGTGAGCTTGTATATATATATATTTATTTTATGCTCAGTAAAAGACTATTTGTATTTCTTTTTGCTGAGATTTTTATCTATTTCCTGTTTGCATTTTTTAAAAAAAATACCTTTATATATTATTCTTTCTAATATATACATAGAGGAATTTGGTCCTTTGCAAGAGAAAGTATTATAATTTTTTCCTTCCAGTTTGTTGTTTGGTTTGGTTCATAGTTTTGCCTATACAGACATTTAAAATTTTGGTGTGGTCATATGGTTCCTTTGTATTAGACTTTTCTCTGTTCAGGATTATAAAAGATTCTCACCCGTTTTTCCTATAGTTTTCATAGCTTCATTTAAAAAAAATTAAAACCAAACCAAATTGACCCACTGGGATGCATGTTAATGAAAGTAATTTAGGAATACAGCTATGCCCCAAACCCCAGTTACTAGTTTCACAGAATAATCTACCCCCACTGATTAGGGTTGCCACCCTCCTCCACCAACTCCCCAAGATGGATATGATAGTGCCTCCCAACTGGGGTTTTTCCCATGCAAATAAGTCAGGGAGCACACGGCAGCACTGATTCCTTGACTTTCTGGGCCGCCTCCTCTCTTGTCAGCGCCGCAGGTGGTACCTGATCACCCATCTAGATTCCAGATTTGCTCATGAGAACTAAGTGGAAACAACAATAGTAAAACACACACAGTTTCTTGAACATCCTGTCCATTAACAATTTATTTATAAGTACACCAAAGGAATCTGTTATAAGGTTTCTCAACATGGCATTTACTGGTGTGTTGGGCCAGATAATTCCTCACTGCGGGGGACTGTCTTACAAACTGTGGGATGTTTAGAAGCATCCTTGGTTTCTACCCTTCAGATGCCAGTAGCACCCTTCCCATTTTCTCTATTTTCTAGCTATGGTAACAGGTAAGTTACTATGTTTTTCTTTAGAACAGGCACTTTATTTTTTGCCTTTTCTATTATATGAAATACACAAACTAAGTGGTAAAGTCAATACACACAGAATATAGTGTATAATTGAACACTACTCGAAATGAGGGGGCAAAGAAATTATACTAAACAATAGCACCCGACATCACTTTAGGGGAAATAAAAGGATTAAAATAGGTTTAAACTGAGTAATATTTCAATCACATCTTATATTCAATACTGCATAATGCAATGGAACAAAAAGTTATGCAGAATGAGTTAACATTTGTTAACATTCACTAAAATTAAGATAGCAAACCTATATAACTTTTTTAAACATGAAAAGACTTCATGTATTTCTGCAACTTTTCATTTTTTCAAAGAAAATCCACAGCAAGCAAAGTTATCAACAATCAGCAAAATACATAGAGTTTCTAAACATATTCCTAAAGTAAAAACATGAACATTTGGAAAATACAGAATTTTAAATACTGTAACCTCTAGCTGAATTTCATGTTTAAAAGAACGCGAAAAGTCCCATTTTTGGCAGTTTATAAAGAACTATCTTTTGACGTGAAGTGCATGAATTATTTTCCTGTTGGGACCAAATTTTACAAAAACACCAAGCTTGCAAGCAGAATTACACAACGAGGCAAGGCAACTTAACAACGTTATCCTATAGAAGTACTTTTTTTTAATTTATTACTTTCTACTACTCTCTCAAAACATTACCCTTAGTTGTATAGGAATCAATGTGAAAATTCTAGCCTAGAAAAAAAGATAAACAAGACAGACATATTTTCAACCATTCCTGGAAGACACTTGCCGAATTTAAGGGGGGCCTTGTCTCTTACTGGCTATTTTTATTCTTAGCATGCGTTAACATGTGAGACTTGAGGTTAGTGGACTGAGCAAACTTCCTGTTGCAGGTATCGAAGGGGCACACGTAGGGCCGGTCTCCGGTGTGGATGCGCACATGCGTGCGCAGATTGAAATCGAGCGAAAAGCGTTTCCCGCAGCCTTCAAACGTGCACTGAAAGGGCTTCTCTCCAGTATGCACCAGTTGATGCCGTTTGAGTTTTGAGTTCTCCACAAAAGCTTTGCCACACTCGGCGCAGACATGGACCCTGGGGCCGTGGGTGTGCAGGTGCTTCCTCATGGAGGAGTTATCCGGGAACATCTTCGAGCAGCCCTTGTGCGGGCAGGCGATTGTCCTCGGAGTGCCTTCTTTGGGCTTTTTGGGCTTCATTTTAGTGAATTCCTTCAGTTGTTTGGGATCAGACAGGTCGATGCCAGGAATCCCCTCAGGAGGAAGCTTCTTCCCAGTCATGTACTCGGAGTAATCGGGGGAGGGGTCCTTACCCTGTTCTCTGGGCTCCAGGTCGTTCACGTTGCTCTCCGACCACATGGACACCGCGAACTCATCCTCCAGGGTTCTGAGCTGCACCTCCCTGGGCATCCACTCGCTGCCCATCTCTGCGGCGGCGGCGGCAGCGGCGGCGGCGGCGTTGGTGGCCGTGGCGCTGGCGCTGCTGCTTCCGGCTCCCACGCCGCCCGCAAGGCTCTTCTTGCCGCTGTACTTCCTGCCGCGGGCAGTCTTTTTGCCGCGGCTCGGGGCGGGCGCCGCCGCGTAGGACAGGGAAGCCAGGGTCTGCTGGAAGCGGTCGTCCTCGCTGGGCGGCCCTGAGGGCTGGCCGCCCGCGTCGCTGGCCAGCGCGCCGTGGGACTCGCTGTAGCCCACCACCTCTTCCCGCGTCTGCACCAAGATCACCTCCTGGTCGTGGTCCCCGCGGCTCGGGTCGCCGGTGAGGAGCGGCTGCAGTGCGATCAGAGGCGGATGGTAGTGGCCCCCGTGGACCCAACTGCCGCTCACATCCTCGTACACCCGGATGGTCTCCATGGCCATCACCTCCACGGGGACCGCTTCCACACAGATGACGCGCGGCTCCGCGAACCCCTCGGCGCCTTCGGTCGCCTTACACGCAGCGTCGTTGGAGGCCATGGCGGGGAGCTGGGCTCAGGCTCCGGCTCTGGGGAAGCAGGTGAGTGACGTAAAGTGGCCGGGACAGTGGCTGAGAGAAGCTTGGCGCCCGCGAACTGCACGTGCGCCGCGAGCAGGCTCGGGCCGCGGGTTTCAGCGGTTGAGGGGATGTGTGGCGTAGAGCCTTCTGGGGGCTGACGTAGGCGCCTTGACTCACGCATGCGTTTTTAGTAACCCAGGGTACGCACTTCCTGGAGCCCCCAGAATGCGTGACCCCGCTCACAGCCACAGGCGTGCGTGTGTGCGTGCGAGCGTGCAAGTGTGCGTGTGTGCGTCCCGGCTCTCGCCTGCCTGCCTTTCCCGCCCAAACTTCAAGCTATTTTTTTTTTTAATTGTACTCCGGTACCAGGCTCTTTATGAATTATTCTGTTTCATTTCCATTCTCTTCTCTCTCCCCCCTGGTATATTACAGTATCTAGCGGAAAAACCACTACTCCTTTCTAATATTTGTGCTTCTGTTATCTTGTTATTTAGTTTCACACACTCACATTTACAGACCATGCGATAGCATCAGCGATGCTTGGTAGTGGGATTGTTTGTCATTTCCTTTACTAGAAAAACTTCTAAGTGTTACACCATTAGGAAGCTACTTCTACCTTTACTCAGGGTTTTTCAAAGTCGTGAATGGATGTTCATTTGTTAAATTCCGTTTCAATATCTGCCGAGATGAGGATTTTTTTCTTTTAATGTTTAGAGTTTACCATATTCAAATACAATTCCTAATGCTAAACCATCCCTGCATTTTTTACATAAACCCCATGTTTATAAAGGTTTTCTGTGCTTTACCTGATGTGGTATCAGTGTGATACTGGCTTTTCCATCTACTTTCTTAATTTCTCCTATTATAGTTAGCCTCATTTCTCCTATTATAGTTAGCCTTTTTTCTAATCTCCACTGGTGTTTAGAGTATTTATATATATTTATCCAGGATCTCAAAATTTTTTGGCAGAGATAACAAAGATTATTTTTTATATTTGTTTTAATTTTCTCTGGAATGTCATTCCCCAGTGACTGCTAATTCTGTCTATAGATGTTTTCTCCCAGTGTTTAATCTTTTTTTTCTTTAAAGAACTAGTTCCTAGATTTAACAGTTCTAATTTTCTTTTTTCTGACTTAATATTTTCTGTTGAAATATTTACTAATTACTTCATCATTTCTTTACTACTTTATAGTTGTTTTCACTTCCTCAGTTGGATGCCTCATTGATTTCCTTTCATTTCTTATTTCATAATAACTGTGTATGACACTAAATGTTCCTTTTAGCAAAACCTTACACATCATTTCATTTTTGTTTTAAAATATACTGCAATTATGTTTTTGAATTGGTAAATTTTTCTAAGTTTGACAGGCACTTGCAAAGGAATTGTCTTCTATGTTTATGGTATGGAGTTTGACATATATTGATTTTTACTTGCTAAGTAAAAAAAAAAAAAAAGATCTTTGATGATCTGACTTTTTCAGATGTATCTGCCATGCATTGAGAGATGAGATAGGCCTCCTTTATTAAAATTCTGGTTTTTCTTTTCCTTTTCCTATTTATTTTTTTAAAAGATTTATTTATTTATTTATACAAGCACTGGGTACAGTCAGAAGCGCGGGAGGGTGAGAGAATTCACCAGAGCCAGAGCGGGGAGCAGAGCAGGCAGAAGGACCGAAGTACACTGCTGAGGAGAGCAGCAGGCGGCAGGAGACGTCTCCGTGCCATGTGGGACCCTCCTCCGGTGGCCTGGGAGCAGCCGGGGATTGAACTGGCGCTGCAGAGGCTGCGGGTAGCTTCGCAACCCAGCGCTCAACTGCTGGGCCACTGGGGAGCCCCTCCTATTTTTGTTTTAATGGTTGGTTACTTCATTACAGTCAGAATCACAACAATTACATCTTCATTGTGGACTATACTCCTTATGATTAAATGGCCCCGTTTAGTCCTACTTTCTGTTCACATTTATATAGAATGTTCTGCTGATTTTAGTTTCAATCTTTTGGAGTAATGTTTAGGTGGATTTCTTTCATACATCACAAATTTGAGGTATGTTTTTAATATAAATTAACATTTTTCTTTTCAATAGTGAGCTAATCACATATATTTATTGACAAAAAAGTGTTTTGGTCTTTTGATATATGGTCTGTTTTCTCTGGTGTATGTTTCAAGCTTTCTCTCTGATAACTTGAAAGGTTTATCATGTGTGTTTTAGATCTTGTTGCATTTATATTTATAATTCTTAGATAGTATGTGCAAACCTCTATTTCTTGATTTATCAACATTAGGCAGACTTTTTCTCTCCAATACAAAGTTGAGGAAATTAGTACTTAGATTTCCTGTTAATATTTTACTTTTCCACTTCCATGTTTTTATGCTATTACATTCACTCTGTTCAAGATTTTTAACTCTATACTTGATTAACCTCATTTGTCCCATTGAAAGAGGTATAGGATAGGTATAGGATTTTAATGTATTTGTCTTATGTCAATTTAGCTCAGGTGGAACTGTTTCCCAGAATTTCTTTCCTATATAACTATATTTTCCCAGTGGATGTTTTTCTTTTCTTTTTTTTTTTAAGGATTTATTTATTTATACAAGCACTGGGGTACAGGCCAGAGGCGTGGGAGGGTGAGACATTTCACCAGAGACAGAGCCGGGAGCAGAACAGGCAGAAGAACCGAAATACAATGCTGAGGGGAGCAGCAGGCAAGACAAGAGAGGTCTGCCGCACCATGTGGGAATCTCCCTGGCTGGCCCGGAATCCAACCAGCGCTGCAGAGGCTGCAGGCAGCTTCACAGCACTGCGCTCAACCCACTGCGCCACTGGGGAGGCCCCCTAGTGGATGTTTCTTACTTAACTTTGCCAATCCCAGAGTTCACCATCTTTCCTTGCATGCAATCTCTTCTTTTTTCCTGAATTCTTTATCTCTTGGATGATTATGTTCTCCCTTGATTTGATGCAAATTTCACTATATTTCATCTGAGCTGATATTCTTCATAATTTGTGTTTTCAGGTTTAGTATTGCTTAGCCTCAGTGAAAGTGAAGTTTTCCACTCTGTTTTTACTAAGAGTTTGTTGTTTTTAGTTATTTTTAATAAAGAAATGCACATTATTGACTTGAATGCGTCTTTTAAACTAAATTTAGCAACCAAAAGATGAGATATTTTCATTTGTAATGTGAGTGCTTTCCATAAAACCATTAATAACACACAGATGAATAAAGAAATTTAAGTCTGTTACCTGCACAAAATATCCTCAGCTGCTGGACTGGTGATATAAGTTGCAAATGAGTGGTGAAAAGATCAACAAATGCTCCAGGATAAATAACGAAGAGAAAAATCCCAAAGCCATTAAATCGAACCTGTTCCCTAAGGAATATAAAAAAAATGAATTTACTATTAATACTGTATTTGTTAAATTAATAATGTATAAGTCTTAAAACTTCCCACTGTAATTCTAATTCTTGCTTAAAATACAAGTCTATAAGATAATCAAAAATTTATACCTGTACATATTTGTTTTATATATATGTATCTCACATCATGACTTTGTAATAGTGTATACAGATTTGGTTTTATCTGAAATTGCATTTTGTAAAATAGGGTGGGCATTCTGAAATAGCTTACAACTTCAAAATTTTTATAGACTAATATGCTGAGCAAATACTTGAAATTAGTCACACATATAAGGAAATGGTTAATATTTCTCTATGAGGAATTAAAATGAAAAACATTTTTATAGTTTACTCTTATAAGTTATTTTCAAAGACAGAGTAGGAAATATAATTCAAGTAAATTATCTAAATATTTATATTTGTCTTAGGTATTATAAAGGTGGAGGTTTAAGTGTATTCCTGTTGAATTAATGTTAAAGTATAATGTAAAATGCATAATTCTCAGATAGTTCTCAAGAGAACTATTTTTTCATCAATATATTTTAAGATTTTTATTTATTTATGCATACAGGAACTGGGGTATAGGCCAGAGATGCAGGGGGTGAGAGGATTCACCAGAGACAGAGAGGGGAGCCTGAAATACACTGCTGAATGCCTGAAATACACTGCTGAGGGGAGCAGCGGGCGAGACAGGAGAGGTCTGCTACGCCATGTGGGTCACCTCCCTGGCTGGGGATCAAACTTATGCTGCAGTAATTGTGGACTGCTTTACAGTGCTGATACTTAACCCTTGCGCCACCAGGGAGACCCCTCAATATATTTTCTAAAAATGGAATTACATTTAAAAGTCTTGTAAGGGGCCTCCCCGGTGGCGCAGCTGGTTGAGCACAGCGCTATGAAGCTGTCCACAGCCTCTGCAGCGCTGGTTCGATTCTGGCTGGCCAGGGAGATACCCACATGGAGCACAGACCTCTCCTGCCACCCGCTGCTCCCCTCAGCAGTGTTTTTGGTCCTTCTGCCTGTTCTGCTCCCCGCTCTGTCTCTGGTGAATTCTCTCACCCTCCTGCGCCTCTGGCCTGTACCCCCCACTGCTTATAAAAATAAATCTTAAAAGTCCTGTAAGACCAAATGGCGGGGCCTCCCCGGTGGCGCAGCGGTTGAACGCTGGGTTGCGAAGCTGCCCGCGGCCTCTGCGGGGCCAGTTCGATCCCCGGCTGTTCCTCGGCCACCGGAGGAGGGTCCCACATGGCGCGCAGACCTCTCCTGCTGCCCGCTGCTCCCCTCAGCAGTGTACTTCAGTCCTTCTGCCTGCTCTGCTCCCCGCTCTGGCTCTGGTGAATTCTCTCACCCTCCCGCTCTTCTGACTGTGCCCAGTGCATGTATAAACAAAAAACAAACAAATAAATAAAACATGCCTCTATAAAAAAAAAAAAAAAAAAAAAGACCAAATGGCTACTCCAAAAAAAGGATCATCTAATATATTGTGCTGTTACTCAGTGATAAAATGTGTAAGATGATTGTGAAATTCACCTTTTTGGGCAGTTGGAGTTTTATTAAAAAATTACCCAAATTATCCTACAAACATATTGTCAATTATTATACTGTTAAAAACAATGTCTTTATATATAAAACCCTAAAGGCAGGAACCCTAAAAAATGTGGAAGCAAAGACTTAACAAAAAGGTAAATATCATTACCTAATAGCTGCTATCCCATGTCCAATTTCATGTACAACACCACTTATGAGGACTGCAGCGAAGAAATAGGTGAGTTGGTTGACGGGTAAATTTATGCCAGGAACCTGTTCATAAACACAATGACAAATACACAGTTGGGCATCAAGAGACCACAATGTTTACTCTGTATTAAAGACTGAACTTCTAAGCTGAGTGTAAATTGAAAGTAGTATGAATATCAGTGGTTCACTTTTCCATTTCTATCATAATAAAAGTAAAAATACCAGTCAAATTTTTGAAGTAAGCATAACAACAATGTAAAGAGAACAGGGAACAAACAAATAAGGTAACAACAACAACTGACAAAAGAACAGGAAATACCAGATTAAAGATAAAACTTTAGTAAAAAGGGATAACCCCTGAAACATGGGACTAGGGGAAGAGAACTGTAAGTCAGGGGACTTGCTTCTCATTATAAATAGTATTTGTATTTGTTTTTTAACCTCATGTATTAATTACTTGCAAGGAAAAAAAAATTTCCCATTTAAAAAAAGCTGAAACTTAGGCTTTCTGAAGTCTTCAACATGGGAAAGAATTAGGGAGTCTGGCAAAGTAGCAGGAAATGGAGAATGTCAGTGAAGGAGTCAGCAGCTGACCTACCCACAAAGGCCAGAAGCTTAATTTCTGAATTCTTGTTACAATACCTAGTCCTTCTTCTGAACAGTTATTGCAAGGTTCCATGTACTTATGCAAAGTAATACAGCATAATCCCCTGCCCCATCGACGAGTTTTAATTTAACATTCTCAAGTTATACTGTGATAAGATAACCTAAGAATTGGTGGTTAAAGGAAGTGTACTAAAGCACCTTATTGGTATGGGAGCAACATGCTCTCCATTTCTTCTGTTCCATCAGTTTGGCCAATACATCGTTCAGAAAAGCAATATCAAAGGGATACATTAATATATTAAAATTGAAATTTAATGTAGAAGTGAGGCATGTGGGACAAACAGGCATGTGAAGGACCTATAAAGAAGCAGGAGTTGTCTTGCAATCACATGCTTCTAAGATGTTGTGCTTATATAAATCATTGCACACTCAAGGGACGCTTGCTACTGTTAAGGGCTGCACAGTTGTTTTTTAAGGTATCCAAGAATCTTCTCACGAGATAATCACTGTCCAGTTATGTCCTCTGTTAAGGAGGTATTCTATAAATTAGGCTAAGTGGGGCACACCAGGCATCTTTAATACCATTTACATACTATGCATCTATTTCTCACAGCCCAGGAGTTAGGACCCTAAAGATATGCTTCTAGAGGAAATTCCTTCTTTCTTTTATTATTATTTTAAATTAATTATAAAATGTCTGAAGCAGGAAAACTAGATGACTCAAAGAAAAATGGAAGTCCACAGTTATCCCAAAACACAAAATTTCAGAAAACATTCACAATGTTTTAATGCCTGTCCTTCCAGTCTTCATGTATACATTTTTTTTAAAATTGTATTTGTATTAGTTTTGAAACTTCCCTCTTTAATGGTATCATATTTTCCCCATGAGTTTTTTCCAATTCAACATTATTTTTAATATCTATATTATATTCTATGGAATAGATAGTTGGGCATTTGTTTTAAAGATTTCTGCACTTAGAAATACTGTGATAAATGTATTTGAATACACATACCCAAATAAATTCTTAAATAAGCCTGGCTTTGGAGACATATCAGTTGAGTTTGAGGTCCTGGTTCTTTTACTAACTAGCTAAGTGACCTCTAGATTATTTTTCTCCAACACTTCAATTTCCTCATCATTAAAATGGAAATGACCACAGTTACATAAAAGGGTAATTTTGAGAATTACAGGAGATAATCCTTGTCCAATGTTTAACATTATGTCTCACAGAGAGGATATCAAATGCAATTATTACACAAAATTTAAAGGACTTTGATACATATCAAACTATTCTCCAAAAGCAGACCCTTCCATAATCTAAGGCAAAGCTCATTTTATTCAAATACACATTTTGAGGGGCCTCCCTGGTGGCACAGGGGTTTAAGTCTTAGCACTATCTAGCTATCGCCACCCACTGCTGCATGAGATGATCCCCAGCCAGGGAGGTGACCCACATGTGGCACAGACCTCTCCTGTCTTGCCTGCTGCTCCTCCCTGCAGTGTATTTCAGTTAGTCTGCCTGTTCTGCTCCCCACTCTGTCTCTGGTGAACCCTCTCACCGCTTCCTGCCCCAGCACCTCTGGCCTACACCCCAGTTCTTGTATGCATAAATAAATAAATCTTTAAAAAAAAACCCAAAACACAAATACACAATTTGAGAGACATGGTTTGATTTATATTTCTTTGATCATTATTAAAGCTGAACTTTCTCCCTTCTTTTGACCACTGATAGGCCTCATGAATAGTCTACTCATAACTTACCTATTTTTTCTCCTTGTATTCATCTTTTGCCTATTGATCTGTAAAATCACCTGAACTAGCAATTGTTAGTAATACATATCATAGATGTGATCCCCGGTTTTTTGCCTTTTACTTTTATTTTGCTTTTAACTTTTCGATATATATGAAGTTTTATGTAGTCACAGCTATCAATATTCATGGTTTCTGCTTTTAGTTTTATACTCATGTTGTTTCTGTAATCTGCGTTCATTTTTCTCTTTTAAGGTCTTTTATGATTTCATGTCTCTTTTAAGGTCTTTTATGATTTTTTAATTTTAGTTCAATTGGAATAACCTTTGTGTGTAATAGAGGAATTTTCACATGTAAGCCTCCTTTATTTACCTTCGAGGAGATCCAAACCATGCTGGTTAAATCACTTTCTAAATTCCATTAATTCCAAGAGCTCTTTCCCTAGGTATGAAATTAATTTTTATTATAATTTTTAATGTGTGTATACTTTGTTGAATGACAATTCCATAATTTAACCATTTCAATTATTTTGTTTGTTTCTAATTTTTCATAATAATAATGTGGGGGATGATGAATAAGATTTTTTTCTGTGTTTGGAAGTGCTTCCTTAAGCTAAAGTGCAAGATGTGGGTGGTCAAAGGATATGACATTTTTATAATGCCAAATATATGTGGTCTCCTTACTCAGGCTACTAAGCAGATTTTTTTCAAGAACATCAGCACATTTCTTTCTACATACTTGCTCCATTCCCATGTTGTCAGCAATCTGTTCAGATCAACGGTTTCCCTTTTTCTTACTCCTCCCTAAATTTACATATTTAAGGTGAATTCTTATACATTCTTTCTGTATCACTAAATATCCTGGTTATCATACCTTTATTTCAAATAAATTAATGGGCTCGATCCAATAGAACAGTGGTTCCTTTTCTTTATGATTTTATGGATACAATAATGAAATAAGGTAAGGATTTGAGCATGTGACTATTCCAACAGATGGTAGGTCTTGTTGGCTGGCAACAGTACCGACTGCCCATCTGTCTTGGCCTTAAACACAAAGGGTATTAGAATGTACCAGAATAATGATCTCTCAACAATAAGAGTGCCAGGTTTTTGGGAATCAATACTGAAAGAGACAGTAGGGAATTATAGAGTAAACACAAAGTATATTCTCTAAGCTATAAAAGCTCATATCAAAGTCAGGAGTCATAACATTCTTAAACATATACATAAACATGCAGGGTGGACTAGAGAGGGCAGCTGATTGCTTAATGGTTCCAAAGCATGGCTCTCCTATCAGGCAATATTTTTCTGAGCTCTATGAATAAACGGAGAAACAGCAGAAGAACTAATTTTTCCTCTAAACAATATTTTGCCATTCCGATCCTATCAGACAGAAAGGCCAATGACCACATTTCCTCCAAATTTGCTTCTTTCTTTACTATGCTCTTTCTTGGCGAACGCTAAGCAATCACATTGACAGTCACCTTAAGCTCTGCCTTCTCCCTTTGGCCTCATATTCAGTTAATCAAGGAATTCTGAGAACTTCACTCCAAAAGATCCCTTGAATCCATCCCCTTCATTCTTTTTTTTTTTTAAAGATGTATTTATTTATGCATACAAGAGCTGGGGCATAGTCCAGAGATGCGGGGAGTGAAAGGATTCACCAGAGACAGAGTGGGGAACAGAACAGGCAGACTAACTGAAATACACTGCTGAGGGGAACAGTGGAGGAGACAGGAGAGATCTGCTTCGCCATGTGGGTTGCTCCCTGGTGGGTTGGGGATCGAACTCGTGCTGTAGAGGCTTCGAATTGCTTCATAGTGCAGGGCTTAACCCCTTGCACCACCAGGGAGGCCCTTCATTCTTTTTATTACTAATTTCGTTTAGATCTTTTATCACTTCTAACATGAAATATCGCACATGCCTTCTTAAATGGTCTCCATCTTCAATGTAACCCTACTTTGGTCCATTTTACATGGACTTGTTATCTACAGGTAAAATCAAAACTTTTTAGAATGGCACTTCATAACCCAGACTCTACCTATATCTCCCATCTTACCTCCTGCAAAATATACCCTCCACCATATTGCACCTAGACATGGGCCAAAGTTACTTTACAGTTACCTGAACAATAATTGCTTCTCTTAAGGGAGTAGGACAAAATACATAGGCTCTGAGGTCAGTGGTAGGAGAGTAATGGACTCACTGTGTACTATCTATGACCACAGGCAAGTAACGTAACACTTTTCTGCCTTTTCTTATCTCTGAATCAGGGATGACAATACCAATCTCCAGGCAAGAATAAAATAAAATCTCCCATGGGAGGAACTGCATATATGTAGGCTTTATTATTATCGCCTCTGTCTCTCTATGGGATATGGATCCTTCTGGTAGAGGGATGCCAACTGCCATCTTCCTTCCCCCAGCTGTGTAGACATTCCTCACCCTTCCCTTGAAGTTCTCCACTCCCTTCGCGGTGTCAGGCATGCTCACGTCAGCCTGCTTTTCTGTTCCCATAGCCCCTTGTACTCCTCCAACTATAACACAGGTTGTTAAATGCCTGTTACTGTTGAGGAATAAGCTGACTTAAGATCTCTATAATAAACAAAATTGCATTCTAATTCTCTGTAAAGTGTTTCCCCTTCTTCATGGCTTTCAGATACCAACCAATAATAACCTTTTAATTAAAGGTATAACTAAAGGCTCCATGGGGCCTCCCCTAGTGGTGCAGGAGGTTGAGCACCACGTTGTGAAGCTGTCCGCAGCCTCTGCATCACTGGTTCGATCCTGGCCAGCCGGCGAGGGTCCCACATGGCGCAGCAGACCTCTCCTGTCACGCCCGCTGCTCCCCTCGGCAGTGTATTCCGTCAGTCTGCCTTTTCTGCTCCCCACTCTGTCTCTGGTGAATCCTCTCACCCTCCCGCACATCTGGCCTGTATCCCGGTTCTTGTATAAAAACAAATAAATCTTAAAAAAAAAAAAAAATAAAGGCTCCATGAAGGCTAGGGTTGGGTTTGTTCTCCCTATAAGCAGAGATCAGCACAGGGCCAACAGGCAGAATATAGTCAGTAAATGTTTGCTGAAGAAATAAATAATCTCTTCTGAGTTTCAATTGATAATTCTTTTTAACCTCTAAGAAAGAGCTATTTTTTTTTTTTTTTACAAGATTTACTTATACATAGACGAACTGGGGTGTATGCCAGAGGTGTGGGGGGTGAGAGGATTCACCAGGGACAGAGTGGGGAGCAGAATGGGCGGATCTACTGAAATACACTGCTAAAGGGAGGAGCAGGCTCAACAGGAGAGGTCTGCTGCACCTTATGTGTGTTAGCTCTTGGCTGGGGATCAAACTCAGGCCACAGCGGTGATAGTGCTGAGACTTGACCCCTACGATACAGGGAGGCCCCTCTAAGAAAGCTATTACCAGAAGTGAGGTTCTTTATCATTTTTCTCTACAAATGACCTCTAAATCTTTCCAGAGTGCCCACCCTGGTAAAGGACATAGAGTTAAAAAAAACCTGGGGCCTCCCTGGTGGCGCAAGGGGTTAAGACACAACCTACGAAGCTAGCTGCAGCCACTGCAGCACAAGTTCGATCCCTGGCCAGGGAGCTACCCACATAGCGCAGCAGACTTCTCATGGCTCGCCCGCTGCTCCCCTCAGGAGTGTATTTCAGTCTATCTGCCTGTTCTGTTCCCCACTCTGTCTCTGGTGAATCCTCTCACCGCCCTTACCTCTGGTCTGTACCCCAGTTCTTGTATGCATAAATAAATGAATAAATCTTTTACAAAATCTGCCATTAACTTTTAAATAGTCTGATCCATGAATAAGAAATTGATTTAAAAAATAACATACAAGACTCATAGAAACAATCATATAAAAAACGTGAACTAAATGAGCCTATGGCAAAGCCCCTTCCAAACTCTGAAGACATGAATCACATGTGCTTTAAAGTGAGAATTTTTATAAACAGCTTACAGTCAGAGGAGCACAACCTAGCACGTTATTCTTCCTATCAAGAAATCACAGTGACGATTAAAATGGTTTTATACCTTCAATCAAAAGATTTTTATTGGTTAGTACCTGAAAGCCATGAAAAAGGGGGGACACTTTATAGAGGATTAGAATGCAATTTGTTTATATATCACAGACATAACTTAAGTCAGCATGCTCATTCCCTGACAGTAACAGCCATTTAACACCTCAAGACAACAGCAAGAATTAAATCGAGTACCCATTTAATTGTTGACAGTCTTGATATTGTCGTTTGTTCTATTACTACTATTATTACAACACGTCACAATGCCCTGCTATACTTTTACTAATGTTTTTGTTCAAGCAGGTAATTTGCAACATTGTGAGACTTCTCGTTTTTCACACTTATATTATGGATAGGAGTCATGCTATCTCAAAGAAATATCTTGGATAGGACTGTTTCAAAGTTACTTAAACCAATAAGAAGGCACTTACCACCACTTGTAGCACCTGTTCATTGTGAAATGAAGAAGAAGAGGAGGAAGAAGAAGAGGAGGAGGAGGAGGAGGAGGAAGAAGAGGAAGAGGAAGAGGCAGAAGAGGAAGAAGTGGGAGAGTCAGCCATCATTTGTGCTAAAGTCTGCATCAGTGTTTTCCCCAGGAGAAAAAATGAGCTAAACATGGCAATGACGCCGAACACCATTCCAAAATTGAACCTGTCAAGAGGGGGAAAAAAATCACATAAACATACAATTCCTCATAATTCATGGACTCATAATTCATCACCTAGCCACATTTCATAGCTTCAAAACAATAGCAAAAAATCCAGTAACTACCTCTTTTCCTTACGTCAATGTCAGATACTTGACTGAAGCACAGGCACTAGTCTCTAGAAGCAGTGCTAATCATGCACAATTATCTCATAACTGAAGAGGCAGACTATCATTTCTCATAACAGGTTTGTTTTTACTCATGTATTTTGCTCATTTACACAGCATTGTTCTGATCTTGTTCTTATATAGTTATGAAAGCTCTTTTGACATTACAGCATCCAATTCACCTACCAATTCTATCGTTTGCATTTTATTTTAGCTGTATTTTAAGTTTAAATATTAACATGGTAAAATTTAAAGACAGTTTCTTTCTCCCACTGCTCTAACTCTCATAATTAGAAGTCATTCTTCCCTAGTTGGCAGTAGGTTATTAAGTTGTTTTTGATAAATTGTGACTTTCAAGGAACTTATCCATTTCATTTTGAACATTAATGGTCAAATTAATAGGCATAGAATTATTCACAAAAGTCTCATTTTTTTTAAAGATTTATACTTTAAAAGATTTATTTTTATTTATTTATGCATATAAGAACTGGGGTGCAGGCCAGAGGTGCGGGGGCTGAGAGGATTTACCAGAGACAGACTGGGGAGCAGAACAGGCATATGTATTGAAATACACTGCTGAAGGGAGCAGCAGGGGAGTCAGGAGAGGTCTATTGTGCCATGTAGGTAGCTCCCAGGCAGGGGATCCAACTCATATCGCAGTGGCTGGAGACAGTTTGATAGCCCTGAGTCTTAACCCCGATGCCCCACAAAAGTCTCATTTTTAAAAACGTTTACAGACTGATCTGTGGCAATGTTCCCTTTTTCAATTCTGATTTTTTTTTAAAGATTTATTTATGTATACAAGAACTGGGGTACAGACTAGCGGTGTGGAGGGTGAGAGGATTCACCAGAGACAGAGTGGGGAAGAGAACAGGCAGACTGACTAAAATACACTCCTGAGGGGAGCAGTGGGCGAGTCAGGAGAGGTCTGCTGCGCCATGTGGTTTGCACCCTGGCCGGGGATCAAACTCATGCTGCAGTGGCTGTTCACAGGCTGTGTCTTAACCACTTGTGCCACCAGAGAGGCCCTCAATTCTGATTTTTTTTTTTTAATAAGAATTGATGAAGTCTTTTATTTTTTAGTCTCTCTTTTTTTCTTTTTTTTAAAGATTTATTTATTTATTATTTATACAAGCACTGGGTACAGTCAGAAGCGCAGGAGGGTGAGAGAATTCACCAGAGCCAGAGCAGGGAGCAGAGCAGGCAGAAGGACCAAAGTACACTGCTGAGGGGAGCAGCGGGGGGCAGGAGAGGTCTGCGTGCCATGTGGGACCCTCCTCCAGTGGCCCGGGAGCAGCCGGGAATCGAACCGGCACTGCAGAGGCTGCGGGCAGCTTCGCAACCCAGCGCTTAACCGCTGCGCCACTGGGGAAGCCCTCAATTCTGATTTTTAGTAACTTGTGTTTTCTTTTTCCTTGGTCAGTCATGGAAGGGGTGTATCAGTTTTACTAATCTTTGAATTTACTGATTTTCTTAACACTATACTTTCTATTTCACGGACTTATGCTTTTTATCATTTCTATTTTGTTTGCTTTGATTTGCTATAGCAGTTTCTACTTTTTGAGTATCTGATTCTTTACATTAGTTCTATTTCATTTTGGAGCCAAATCTTTGACAAATAGGAATTTAGACAAATGCTACCAACTCCCATACTAGAAATTCTCTCAACTATGGAAACTGCCAGTCTCTAGGGCGTCCCAAAGATGACTATAAAAACCTAACTACAAAAAACCTTGAGTTCTTTTCTTCTAAAGGCAGAAGTATGGGGGCCTCCCTGGTGGCACAAGGGGTTAAGACACAACCTATGAAGCTATCTGCAGCCACTGCAGCACGAGTTTGATCCCCAGCCAGGGAGCCACCCCCAGGGTGCAGCAGACCTCTCCTTACTTGCCAGCTGCTCCCTTCAGCAGTGTATTTCAGTCAGTCTGCCTGTTCTCTTCCCCACTCTGTCTCTGGTGAATCCTCTCACCCCGCTACAGGTCTGGCCTGTACTTCGGTTCTTGTATACATAAATAAATAAATCTTAAAAAAAAATAAAGGGAAAAGTATGCTTGGCATGGCAGGGAGCTCTAGGACCCTCCTGCTGTTATCTGTCTGGCCATTTTCCTGATCAATTTGCGCATGTGCCTTACTGGTTATTAAATATTTCAAGCATCCTTCAGCTGGAAGTTATCACAAAAGAAGCATAGGGGAGAGGGGCCTCCCTGGTGGCACAACAGTTGAGTGCTGGGTTACAAAGCTGCCCGCAGCCTCTGAAGTGCCGGTTCGATCCCCGGCCGCTGGCGAGGGTCCCACATGGTGCGCAGACCTCTCCTGCCGCGCACGCTGCTCCCCTCAGCAGTGTACTTCATCAGTCTGCCTTTTCTGTTCTCTGCTCTGGCTCTAGTGAATTCTCTCACCCTCCCGTGCTTCTAACTGTACCCAGTGCTTGTATAAATAAATAAATAAATCTTAAAGAAGCAGCATAGGGGAGAGCCTACTAACTTTAGGTGACCTAGGACTCCTAGAACCCTCGTTTCTATGTGTGATGAAGGGTGGGGGTGTGGGGATTCCTGAGGTTTCTTTTTCTGATGGAAAATGCACCATGATTTTGCTTTTTGCCTTTCTATTAGTCTATAATTTACACAGCAAAATGCACAAGTTTAAAGTGTACAACTCACTGAATTTTTACATATGTGTACTCACGTATCCACCACCCAATCAAGACATAGAAGCTTTGATTTTTAATGTATAAAAAAGCACAAGGATGTGATTCCACAAGTTTACATAAAACCGGGGCCTCCCTGGTGGCCTAGGGGACAAGTCTCAGTGCCCTGCACCACTACTGCCTGATTTTGATCCCAGCCAGGGAGCTACCCCACGTGGCACAGCCGACCTCTCCTGTCTCCCCTGCTGCTCCCCTCAGCACTATACTTCGGTCAATCTGCCTTTTCTGCTCCCCACTCTGTCTCTGGTGAATCCTCTCACCTCACACACCACTAAATAAATAATTTTTTTTTAAAGTTTACATAGGGCCTCCCCAGTGGCGCAGCGGGTTGAGCACAGCACTGTGAAGCTGTCCGCAGCCTCTGCAGTGCCGGTTCAATTCCCAGCCGGCCAGGGAGATTCCCACATGGCATGGTAGACCTCTCCTGTCTCGCCCGCTGCTCCCCTCAGGAGTGTATTTTGGTCCATCTGCCTGTTCTGCTCCCGGCTCTGTCTCTGGTGAATCCTCTCACCCTCCCGTGCCTCTGCCCTGTACCCCGGTTCTTGTACAAAAATAAATAAAAAATAAAAAGTTTACAATAAAAAGTTTACATAAAACCAGAAAGTCTTTATACTGTCAACATTTTAAAACTCTGTAGACTGGCACATGATGGAAACACCTCTCATGATCACGACTCATTTCAACCACAAAGAGAAAATGAAGAATACCACTGGTAAAGCATCCTCGCTTTCCGCCGTCCCCAACTGTAAAAGGCACGATTGAAAACAGCAGTTTGCCATCTTATGTGAAAAGGGGAGATGCTCAATCCGTTGCTTTCCAGCCAGTCTTCATAGGAATGTTTGAAATACACAGATGACTAAGAGAGAAAGACAAGTTCCACATAACTCATTTTGAAAAACACTTTGTAAATGTTTAAGAAAATCACAAAGAAGTATTTCTATAGGAAAGCAGGATACTGACTGTCCCAATGCTTATAATTTTAAAGCTTCATGTTTAGTCTTCATTATTTTAAAGGTCACAGACTAGCAGGTATACTGAGGTCAGGGTTTGGCACACTATGGTCCATGGACCAAATCTGGCCTTTGGCCTGTTTTCGCATTCTGTAAACTAGGGGATGGTTTTTACATTTTTCAGAGACCAAACAAATAAAAAGTCAACAAGAAGCAAGAATATGTGACAGATCCTGCTTGGCCCACAGCTCCTAAAATACTTGACCCTTACAGAAGTTTACTGACCTCTGCTTAGAATAACATTGTCCAATAGCAAAATAATGTGAGTCACAAATGCAAGTCACATATGAAATTTAAAAATTTCCAGTAGCCAATTTAAGTCAAGAGAAACAGTAATTTATATACAACTTGACTGAAAATACCCAAGTTATTATCATTTTGACATGTAAACAATCAATATTTAAAAAACTGAAATACTTTAAATACTATTCCTTTCTTTCCTTCCTTGTTTATTATTGTACTAAGTCTTTGAAGTTTGGTGCCTACTTTACACTCATAGCACCTCGATTTCCACTAGCATCATTTCAAATGCTCAATGGCCACATGTAATTAGTGGCTACCATACTGGACAGCGTAGGTCTAGAAGCTTTGTTACCATGGAAAGGAAAGTCTCGTTATAATTTAAAAAGACTCCCAACCAATCCAACAGAAGGGATAGCTTAGTTGAAATCAGTGCCTTCCATCCTCTTCTGAGCAACACTTTAGGAAATTAGGCTGACTTTAATCACGTGAAATATAAAACTTATCTAAAGCCATCTGGGTCTCTGTAGTTTCTCTTAAAATTTTCAGGTTTGAAAGGATAGCCATCATACATATCTTGACTTTTATCTTTAGTGAAATCCTTGACTAATGTAGAATTTTGAATAATATAAGACTGTATATCTGACACTGATCCCTATTACCTCAGTTAGAGTAAATATTTTATCATATAGATTCCCATCCATTTGAGAAACCTACCTATCTCTAAGTTTATGTTAGTCCTATCACGGTCATAAGAAGTGACCTGAGTCTAAAGATAGTTATCTGCCTTTGGATGTATAATGCTCTCTGCTCTCAGTCTTCAGAGGAAGTTTTTTAACCCAGCTTGTTTTCTAAGACTTGGAAAAGGAGAGTGAAAACACCCCTCCTGCAGACGTCTACCGAGAAAATTCTAGAAGAATCAAGAAGGAACAACAGGCCAAGTTGGAAGCAGAGGCTGAAGGTAGAGGCTCCTAAATGCAGGGTCTCTCTATTCCTTGGGCAGATACTTGAGTGAAACAGATCTTTTGCTCAAGGAATATTGAAATTAAAGTGACACCCTAATCACTTCACACACCTGACCAGACTATAGAGGCTTGAAAAGTTCATTTTATGTTGGACTTTTGTCACACATGTAACATGATGAAATCAGGTGGCTTGAACAAAATAACAACAAAACCACTGTTAACAGAGTGGCCTGTACGGCTTATGACATGCTAAGCACTAAGCCAAGTACTTTACATCAGAGTGTCTCAAACCAAGGTGCAAAGGAAACACCTGGGCATCTGTTAAAGTGCAGATTCTGAATCTGCAGTCTGGGGCAAGGCCTGGGAGTGTCCACATTTCTGACAAGCTCTAACATGATTCAAATGCTGTTGGTCCTTGAGCCTCCAGTTCAGCAGCAAGACTTTATGGGAATGAATAATGCAACCAGTCCTCCTTCACAATCTCAGGAGATCCTTACTATCTCTATTTTAAAGATGAAGAAACTTCAGAGGAGAAATGTGCTCTAGGTCACAACAGCTAGGAGTGGCAGAGCCCAGCCCTTGCTTTAAGAACGCTATGCTATAACCTCTTCATTTTGCACGTTTAAATGCAGCAAAGAACCATAAATATCTCATGTTACTGTGAAATCTAATACACATGACACTACAGTGTTTTAAGTGGTTTTCATAACATGAAGACTATTCTATTCATAATTGGAACTTCTATTAAACATTTGAGAATTTATGATTTTATTCTAGTTCCTCCCGCAATATTAAATTCCAAAAGGTTGCTTGAAGCATGTGATCAACCGCTCATATTTTTTGGCTCCTCTTCCCAAATAACTGAATAGACCGTGCATTCGGGGTGTGTGAGTGTGTTTAGTATGCAGAAGAGATGCAGGATGCAAATCAGAATTCGAACTGTCACAAACTAAAGGTCTGAATTCTTTCTACTTAACTGTGGTAAGTAGCATGGTCTGTGGACTAGCAGCAACATTGCCGGCTCTCGGGAGCTGGTCAGAAATGCAGAAACCTAGGTTCCACCCCAGACCAGCTGAATCAGAATATGCATTTTAACCGGAGCCCCAGGTGATCATATGCACTTTTAAGTCTGAGGCCACTGCTCTAACTCACAACTTGATTTGGGTTCCCTGCAATACCAGAGGGTTTCGGCCCTAAAGACAATGCGGGGAAAGAATGACTTTCCGAAGTGGGAAACAATGCCTTTCAGAAGCAGACGCTTTATTTTCCTCCCCAGTGCACTGCCATGGATCTGACAGGGTCCCGGCCCTCCCAAGTTCACTACCCGCGCCTCCTGGGTAGGAACTTCAAGGCTGTTGCGGGGTCTGCACCGCCCCGCAATGCGACTGCGGGAGCTGCGCAGGCCGCCACACCCCGCCCACGGGCCGCAGCACTTTATTCACACTGCATGGGTCCGGGGAGCCACGCGGAAAGTCGCACGTGGGCAGGGCCGTGCGGCTTCCTGCGCGGGAGGCGCGGGGCAGGGGAAGAGAAAAGGCCTCGGGCCTTGCGCTCCGGCCCTGGGCGCCGCGGGCTTGGGGCGCAGGCCCGAGGCCCTCACCTTCAGTACCAAGTCGGTCAGGTAGACGGCAGTCCAGCCGCCCACCACCACCACCACCAGCGACACTGGAATCATGGCGGCGGCGGAGGCAGCGGAGGGAAGGCGAGCGCCGGCGTCCTCCTCCCTGCGAGCCGCAACCAGCCGACTGCTCGGCGCCTACAGCCCCAACATCCGCGGAGGAACCAAGCAGCCACCGGTTCCCTTTTCGCGGTTGCGCCGTTTCCCTCCGGACGTTTCCGGTGGGCACACACGGGCGGAAGCATGCGCACCGGAAAAGAGCGCGGGGACTTATTTTCATGGGACACACGGCGCCGGTATGCCAGCATCGGCAGGGCTGCGGCTGTTAGACCACTAATGATTTCTTAGGCGTTGGCTCGCCCTGCTGTCTGCCTGCTCTTGATTCTTTATGGTTGTGGTGTGGGGATTGCTGTTCCTTTTAATCTAATGAGGATTTGGGGTCATCTGAAGTATAATCGTCTCGGATCCCCACACACAGTATAAATACCTAGATTTAATTGTCTATTCATTCTTTTTATTGGAAGTGTAATCTTACAGCTCTCAACTGTTCATCTCAATGAGTTTTGACAAATGTGTATACATGTTCCTTAATCAAAAAAGAAAACATTTCCATCTCAGGAATTTCATTGCATCCCTTCACAAACCCCTTCCCCCGCTGCACCGCCCCCTTTCTAATTTATGTAAATAGAATCGTACAGAATGTACTCTTTTGTCTTGGGTTTATATCGCTGAAGGTAATATTTTGAGATTGGTCCACATAGTTGATTAAATTAGATTCTTCGCCCTACCTCTTCCATTATATAAGTTGGGATTGGTCCTACTGCTCAAGGGGTGGGGGGAGGGGGGAGGTAGAACTCCGAACAACACGTATTTTTATGTTGATGTAACCTGATTTTGTATTGACCTGGATGGAACCAAAAGGTCTCAACCTAGACTACGGGAGGCATTTAAAATTACCAATGCCCATCCTGTAGCCTAGACCGCTTAAATCAAATTTCTGTGTGGGAACCAAGCCTCAGTCTTTTCTAAGCTCCTTAGGTCATTCCCCTGTGCAGCCAAGATTGAGAACCACTGCATTAGATGATCTCTAACAGGAAGAAAAACCAGTATTTATGGAGTGTTTTTCTGCATTTTCTTAATATTCATGTCTTTTAAAATTGTTTTAACTTTTCTGGAAAAACCATCAGCAATATTACTAATACCAAAATATCAAGATTTAAGAGTACTATCTCAAATAAAAATAAATATACCTTTGATCCCCTCCAAAATAAAAATTTTGTGTAATACTGTTATAGAGCAACCCCGATATTAAACGGGTTCCTGGCTGTGGGTCCTCACCCGCGCTTTAAAGGGACTTATGAATACTCTACTACTGACACACACAAAAGGGTTAATAAAAGGTTTATTTACAAGAGAAAAGGAAATAAGGAAAATGTACAACTCAGGGAGAAAATAGGGAAATAAAGTCTTTCATGCGTCCTACCCGATCCGACGACCTGGAAATCCAAAGTCACTCTCAGAGATGGCCGGATGCTGCGAGCTGGTGGAGAGCCAAAATGGGGTCCCCCAAAAGCCCACGTGTCTGCCTTTTATATCCACCTGGCTGCTTGACCCCACCCTCAGGTCCCAGCCACCTTCCCTTTGGTGGTGATGGGATTTGGAGTTCCCAGTGTCTTTGGCTTTGACCTGGGGTGGGGGTGGAGTCCACAAAGCCTATATGGAATTTGCTTTGGGACATCCTTTTCCCCCTAACAATACCAGATGAAAGGTACGGGGCCGTAAAGAACAGCCAGGCCAAGCTTCCTGGGGGAAGGGAAAGTTTATTGCTCCCGGGGGGACCTCACAGACCCAAGGCGGGGGTCAGTGGAGTCGCCCACGTTGTTAGGGGGAAGCAGGGTTTTATAAGGTAAGGAGAGATCAGGTGGGAAGTTGGGTTCGTAGGGCTGGAAACGTTTGAGAAGAGACTCGTAGGGGGAGGAGGGAGGCTCATTGTCTGAATCCTCCAGGCAGGTATCCGCATTCCTGCCCCCCAGGTGGGCTTCCTGGTTGGCTTTTGCATTCCGGCCTCCTGCATGGACCGTTCACCAGAAATCTGTCTTACAAATATTACTACTAATTTGCCTCACTCTTCAATATTTTTCCTCAAGTTTTAATAATTTAGCACCACATCTTTAGCTTCACGAAAGCCAAAGGCTCAATTCTACATCTTGTATGTATGTGTGGATACATATTGTTATAAAATTTTTTCTATTTCTTTTAGCAATAACTGGCTATCAACTACAAGTCTGTATTCAATTGCCCTGTGACCCCATCGTTTTCCATTTACAGGTGACTCTAAAGTCTTAATGTAGTTTTAGGTATTGATAATTTCAGGAATATAAATGCTGGAAAACCTATTTGAATTTTTTTTTTTTTAAAGATTTATTTATTCAAGCACTGGGTACAGTCAGAAGCACGGGAGGGTGAGAGAATTCACCAGAGCCAGAGTGGGGAACAGAACATGCAGACTAACGAAATACACTGCTGAGGAGAGCAACGGGCACGGCAGGAGAGGTCTGTGCGCCATGTGGGACCCTCGCCGGCAGCTGGGGATCGAACTGGCACTGCAGAGGCTGCAGGCAGCTTTACAGCCCAGCGCTCAACTGCTGCGCCACCAGGGAGGCCCAGGAATATAGGTTTTTTGATTGGTTCATCTTGGGGCAAGAATATACTGCTTAGCTGTCCACAGCCTGTGCAGTGCTGGTGCCATCCCCGGCTGGCCAGGGAGATTCCCACATGGCGTGGCGGACCTCTCCTGTTGCGCCCGCTGCTCCCCTCAGCAGTGTATTTTTGTCGTCTGCCTGTTCTGCTCCCTGCTCTGTCTCTGGTGGGTTCTCTCACCCTCCCACGCCTCGGGCCTGTACCCCAGCTCTTGTATAAAAATAAATAAATCTTTAAAAAAAAAGAATATACTGCTTAGATAGGGTGATGAGAATTGTCAAAGGAAAACAGAAGAAAATTCTGCATTTGTTTTCTAATATTTTTTGATAACTAAGAAAATGCATAAAGCTAACTTTTTCTATTTCAATTTTTATTACTTTTACACAAAACATACACTTTAACAATAAGTCCGATAGGTGACTTGAAAAATTTAACTTGTACTTTCTGTACAAATTCTGTACAATAGTCACAATGGATGTTTTATCATTTTGGCTTAACAGTAAGAACTGCAAACTAGATAGCAGCTGTACTTGGGTGCTTGGAAATTTTCATTTACTTATTTAGTTATCTTATCAGTGACACAATTAAAATTTGCTAAATTATCATCTATTCAGCTAAAAAACTGCCAAAGGTCAAAATCTCTGATACTGGTTTTCAGCATATTGACCGGCCAAAGCAAATGATGCAAACGTTTTAAAATGTTTTCAGAGCTAAGCAAAATTTTGGCCAAGGAAAGTTTTTATGCTGGAAACAACATGTAAATGTCTGTTTTTCTCTTACCTTTCCAGAAAACACAATTGTCCACTATGTAATGTAATACCACATAATTCCAACAAACTCTTCTTCATTCCATTAGCTATAAAAAGAACTCACCATAAAAAGGCAATCATGTGCAGCAAAGCCCTTTTATTTTTGTAGATGCCAATAAGGATTTCATTTCTTTTGAGGACTAGGCAAAGATTATTTCCCAGCAGACTATAAACGGGCTCCTTGCCTACATGATGATCCAGGCTGGTTCTTTTCTGTTCCAGTTGTTCTGAAGCAGAGATCCGCTTAAGAATCATGTGGGTGGGTATGTTTCTTCCACATACGCCAGGTCCTGGCCCCTGCTGGCTGCAAGGCTGGGGCCCTTGAGACTGGGGCACGGGCATGTTCTAGTTAATGAAGCGCAGGCTTCCGGTGAACTTCCATTTCAGGCCATGTGGCAGTTGGACAGTCTAAAAGCCCTTCCCTTGCAGAATAGCTAAAAGTGTTTTTGTTTTTTTTTTCTGGATTAAAAAAAGGCAAGCATCCTTTTGAACACATGGTTAGGATTGTAAGGGAAATACTTCAAGGCCAAGCTCAGAGCTGGCCTATAGTTCCACATGGTGAACAGCTGCTGATACTCTGCTTATCCTGGGAGACAGAGAGCAGCCTCTGATGTCTATAACCAAGGGACTTGGGTTTTAACAGCTTTTGGAGGTAGGGGGAAGGCTCTGAGGGCAGATAAGATGGGGAACTGGAACTAAAGTTTGTGCAAAGTTGGGATGCTGAGAGGTCTGCCTTGGAATAGAAAGAAACACTATCCATTAGCTGAGGTAAAAACTACAGAGCTTGCCTGCCCATTTGTCTGAGATTTTAGTGAAAGAAATATCTATGTGTGGGAATTAAGAATCACCATCTTTCCTCAGGTGGTTTTCAGAGTTTACATGACTTGTGTGGCCTGGCAGCCCTGGGTTGCGAAGGTAGTATAAGAAATGGTCCCAAGCTGGGGTACCTCAGGGTTTCCGGAAATAGCAAATTCAGGGCTTCTCTTGAGGCACACACTCTCAGGCCAGACCAATCTGTGCTTGTGTGGCAGCCTGGGAAGAGTTTGGCAGAGGCCAGGCACACCTTGGAGTGTGGAGTGACTGAGGCTGGGGTGGACTGCCTGACCCCCTGCAGTCACTCTACTTCTCGTAGACCCTCATAGCTGCTGGAGACCATTTTGTCCAAGCACTTCTTTTTTTTTTTTTTTTTTTTTTTTTTTTTTTTTTTTTTAATTTTCTAGAGGCATGTCTTATTTATTTATTTATTTATTGTTTGTTTGATACATGCACTGGGTACAGTCAGAAGCGTGGGAGGGTGAGAGAATTCACCAGAGCCAGAGCGGGGAGCAGAGCAGGCAGAAGGACCGAAGTACACTGCTGAGGGGAGCAGCGGGCGGCAGGAGAGGTCTGCGCGCCATGTGGGACCCTCCTCCGGGGGCCGGGGAGCAGCCGGGGATCGAACCGGCTGCAGAGGCTGCAGGCAGCTTCGCAACCCAGCGCCCAACCGCTGCGCCACCGGGGAGGCCCCCAAGCACTTCTTTCTGAGGGTTCAGAGGTAGGTGTACCCCGGACCTGAGAATTTGCTTGGTGGGATGAGAATAAACAGGTGATTCTATTTCATCACCCTGTTTCCAACATATAATATGGTTAGTGCCTTGCACTAAGACTTGCATATGGGAAGTATTCCTTGTCACTGCTTTCCTTGACCTTTGGAGCTGATCAAGATTAGGGACTGGCCTTCAGCCATTATCTGTAGATATTAAAAGCCCAAGTATTCGGTAGCTCCAGGGGAATACAACTTTATAGGCTAACAACTAGACATCTGAAGAGGACAAATACATCAAAAGAAAAATCGCAAACTGGAAACCATGTACCAATCGTAGGACATACAAATAAACTATATAACTAAGCAAGCATGTAAAATAAGTATGAAAGGAGTTGGCCTTTTGATTGGAATGAAGAAAGGTGAAATTCTGTCCTCACCGTACCAGGTGATTCTGAAGTAACTGCCTATTGAAAACTGTTCAGTAACCCAAATGGCAATAAATATATGAGTAAATAACACTAAGTATAAGGCTAAGTTTGATAAGAATCATAATCTATGAAGATATTGTTGACATGCTTGTGCTTTCATTTTATTCGATACTGTATCATTTTATCTTGAAACTGCTTGGTCACTTAGGGGTTACTTGGTAGAGATGTAAAGGTGAATACACACTGATAGAATGATTTATTATTTTGTGGTTCATTAGAAGACCAAAGATTGTTCTGACAATTGTGACATTGCTAATTCCTTGTCGTGGAAGTGTAACCCCAAATTGAAATCAGCGTGTCAAAATTGTAGTGTAACAAGCTACATAGGAAGAACCAGCAATTTTGAAATTGACTTAGCACTGCTTCATTTGCCGATTTGTTTAACAAATTGCATTTGCCTATTCAACCTTACTGTATTGAAATATTCCACATGGGAAGGCAAAGTGGCCTTCATGCGGGGAATCACCTTCAGCGTCTTTGAGGAAACCCAGGCGTCAGTCACAGCAAGGATGGCGAGCACTGGAGCCCTAGGAAAAAAGCAGGGTGAACTAGATAAACGTGGGCAGTGCCCAGCTATGCATTGTCCTGGGAGGGTGTTCCCCGAGTCTTACTAAATATCCAAATTGCCTGATGCTTTGAATTCTGAAATTATGTCAGGCTAATAAAACCTGATAACACTTTGACATTTAAATCCTCTTTCTTTGCTCTAATTTCATATGCCTCAAGTCATCTTCAAGCCACCTTCTGATAATGAGACATCCCAAATTGCTTGTAAAGAAAAAAAAAAAAAGACACTGGCTAGACAGATTAGAATAAAAAAGTCTACCTAACAGTTGTATTTCTCAATAAAAAATAAGTTGAAACATATTAGCCTGTAATATTTAGTTCCTTGTGGGTTAGCATGAATCATGATATCTGAGATAAACCTCATAGATGGTAACAACCAGGGCCAAGAGGAAGCTATTAAGGTAAATGCTACTAAGGTAGCTCTAGCACAGGGTGAATATTCTGACACCCTGATGGAGAACTTAACACCAAAAGAAGTGGAGTAAGGAAGCTTGTGTTTGCAATGCAGTTTCTTACCCCAGCACTCTACTGAAATTGCCCTCAAAAGTGATACTGACTTATTTCGCTGAGCACGATCGCTTCTAGCTCCATCCATGTTGCTGCAAATTGCATGTGTTTATCTTTTATGATTGCTGAGTAATATTCCATTGTGTATATATATATCACATCTTCTTGATCCAGTCATCTATTTTTGGGCATTTGGATTGTTTCCATAGCTTAGCTATTGTGAATAGTGCTGCTATATACATAGGGGTCAGGTGCCCTTTGGAATTAATGTTTCTGTGTCATTTGGGTAAATACCTAGGAGTGGAATTGCTGGATCATATGGAAGCTAAGCCAGAAAGAAAAAGAAAAATACCGGATGGTCTCACTCATAGCAGGAATTTAGAAAGCCTAAATAAGGGACCCAGGAAAAAGACTAATTATAATAAAGTAAAAGTCAAAATCAACAAGCAACTATAAACCAGAGACACACTACCGGTGGGGGCAGGGAGAGGAAGGATTAGGGTCAAAATAAGTGGGGTGCAATTGTATGGGGAATATAACCAAAATGAAAATGCATACATTGTACAAAAATGAAAAATGATGTAAGAATTATATAAAATAAAATATAAAAAAAGGTGATACCGAATTGGGGGTGCAGTAGTCCTAATGTTACCTCAATTCAAAAAGAAATGGTAATTTAAAAAACAACAGTAGGAACCTCTTGGTAGCCCAAGGCAATGTCTTTTCAGCATTCATTCTGTGTTGTTTTTGTTACATGAGACTTGACCATCATCTTGGTTCACAGGAATTCTACCTGAGGCAGTCCAGACAGGAAGGCAAATCTGAGCCCAAGCTTGGGAAATGAAGCACAAAGATCTCTGTCTACACAGATGAATAGAAACGTCTTCCGGAATATTACTAAAGGGTCATATTCTCCTTTACATTCCTATAGGCTTTATTCTCCCTTTTATTACAGTGCTTCCAACAGGTTATTGTTATTGCAGTCATTTCCTTTGTGTCTGTCTGTCCCTCCTCCCAGGACTGTGGGCTTTGGGCCGGCAGGGACATCATATCTTATCATTCTGACACATGGCAGGTGTTCAAATGGCAGTAGAGTGAATATATAAAGGCACAAATGAAGCCCAGTTGCTAAGCAGGTTTGAGCTCTAATGTCTTAGAGAGATTGTGCTTATCTTGGTCTTGGAGGAAAATAGGTTTTATATTAAAAAGTAAACTCTCCACAAAACAAGAACACTACACTAAAGGAATACTAAAGATGAATCAGTGCTTCGCTCTTTCTCCTACCCCTGACTCCCTAGGCGAGGCCACTGTTATTTCCAGCTGGGAGTGTTCCAACGTGCAACTGTCATCATGCTATTCCCTGCTGGAGAATTTTGCCACGTTTTTGTATTTTAGTCAGTTTCTGCTGTATAACAACCTCCAAATCTCAGTGGCTTATCAGAATAAGTATTTATTGTCACACTCTGGGTCTGCAGGTCGATGACAGTTTGGTCAGTGAGGCTGAGTTCAGCTGGATAGACTTAGGTTTCTGGTGGGGTTTAGGATTCATCCAGGAGCCATCATTCTAGAGCCCACACTGGAGAGGGTGGTGCTACATGAAGAATATCCTTTCCATCAAAGATGTGGGGCACAAGGGGGCAAGCCACACCATGGGCACTGCTGCCCAGCTTCTGCTGGCTCTCTGCTAACATTCCATCGGCCAAAGCCGATGCTGTTTGGGTTGCTGAACAGTTTTCTATAGGCAGTTACTTCAGAATCACCTGGTACAGTGAGGACAGAATTTCACCTCTCTGCATTCCAATCAAAAGGCCAACTCCTTTCACACTTATTTTACATGCTTGCTTAGTTACACAGTTTATTCGTATGTCCTACGATTGGTACATGGTTTCCATGTACCCAAAGTTAAACCCAAAGTCAAAGGGCTGGAAGTACACTCTGCCCACCACAAAGCTTCGGTCCTACCGTAACATGAAGAGAGGAATTGGGAGCAATCCGATCAACCCCACTTTTCCTTGATCTTGGGGTCAAGTTCAAAACCCTTCCCAATCTGCTTTTGTCCCCTCACTTTTCCACCTTCTTCTCTTAGGATTTCTTCGTCTCCCTCACTGCATTCTCCTTACTCTGTTCTCCCGATAATCTTTCAAGTCTAACAATGGGACACGCCATCTCTCACTTTTAAGCCTTCATCTGTGTTGTTGCCTTGTCCTGATGCGTTCTTTCCTCTCCCTTCCCCACCTCTGTGTTCCCACCCTCCTGCCCCCGCCCAACCTCTCCGATCACCCATGTCACATTACCTCTGCAGGACAGAGGTTGTTGCTCCTTCTCTGCATAGTCAAAGCTCCAGCTTTTGATTTTATCCCAACTCTTAGCAGAAGGCATTGTTTTTTCTTATTTAATTGACTGTCTTCCCTGATAGATTATGACCTTCGTTAGGTTGGAAACTATGACTCTTTCACCAGCCTGTCCCAGCACCTAATGTCATTTGTGCCTTGCATGTAGAAAGTACTCATTTGGTTGTTACTTAACAAATGTATGCATGAAACATGGATGACGCTGGAAGGGATCATGCTCAGCGAAATAAGCCAAAAAGAAAAAGAAAAATACCGGATGGTCTCACTCATAGCAGGAATCTAGAAAACTTAAATAAGGGACCAGGAAAATGAATAACTATAAGAAAGTGAAAATCAAAATCAACAAAAAACTATGAACCAGAGACACTTTTTGGGGGGTGGGGGGCGGGAGGGGAAGGATTGGGGTCAGAATGGGGCGTTTGCAATTGTATGGGGGAATATAAAAATAAAATTTAAGATTAAAAAAAAAAAAAAAAAAAAAAATGAGGCTATGTATGTGTGGGAACATGCAGTATATGCAGGAAATCTCTGTGCCTTTCTCTCAACTCTGCTGTGAACTTTAAACTGCTCTTCAAAATAGTCTCAATTAAAAATAAACATAATCAATAAAAAAAAAACAAATGTATGCATGAGCAAGAATAACTGAGGACACAATTTGGTTTGAGGATCTGCTCAAGGTAATTAATTTTGAAAAGTCTAGTGTGTTGACATGTGCGAAAGACTCATGACAATGAAATATGTGCATAACCTTTGCATTTTTTTTCAAAGTCCTCTAAGCCGCTTACTTTCATTACACAAATCTCTCCTTTGTTAGACTTTTGTCATCCACATACTGCATTGCAATATAGCCTACAGGTGAATCTCGTAGTTTGAAGAGACTCTACCCTGTTGCTATAATGAAAGACAGAACCAGGCAGATGATGCTTGAAACAGTTCAAAGGATGCAGTCAGAATAATGATCAGCCCTTGAGGCTGACTGGTTGCCAAGGGATGAAGGCATCTCCCTACCCCCACCCCCCCACCCCCGGAGGGAGTGGTAGGATCTGCCTTTGGAGTGACTTGTTTGTAGCCAGAAGACTAATTCTTAATTGATGCATTTCTGAGTGAAGAGACCCAGATGTTACATGCTAATTTTCTTTTTTCGAGTATGTCAATTTATGCAATTCTGGCTTGAGGGCTGGGAGAGTCTATCAGTCACACCTGACTAGCTGCTCTGCATGAAAATATGAGCAATAACGTTTTGTTGCTGGAACTTGAGGAAGAAAATTTCACTGACAGGAACCACTCCAGGTCCCCAATAAATGACAAACAAGAAGACCTAAGAACCTGAAAGCTATTAACTTGTGGGTGGTGAGTGGGGGTGGGGTAGAGATGAGCACAGAGGGGGATGGGAAAAGTCACAGAGGAGACCTAAATCTTGCAGGGTCCCAGCATATGGATTTGTTTACTTCGAGAAGTAATTGCCAGCTGAGGCCCATGTTCTTGCAGCTCATTTTGAATTCTGATGATAGAGAAATTATTTCTTTTTCTGATGATGAGAAATCTGATCCAAGTTGCATAGGCTCAGAAATGTCTTGCTAGTAATTTGCTAGATTTAAGAATATAGGATTTCCCAATTAGATTCTCATTTAAGAACCATCTTGCTTATTTAGAGAATTAGTCTTTTATTAGTCAAAATGGATTTGCTTCTGAGGCCTAAACTACTTGGACTCATTTCAGGCAAATGTTTTCTAAGAGCTGAGTTCTTAAATTGAAAGAGAAACGTGAGCCAATGTAATAACATATTTAATGAATGGCATGAATGCCTTGGAAAATCCCATCCTGGCCAAACAGTAGAACAGAAATCACAACTGAAGGTGCCAAATAGCTTCCATTTCCCCCAAAGACTCCAGTCCTCCTAAATCACACTATAGATTTGTGCATGTATTTATTTATTGTCATGTCTTTTATAAAGCCTGATCCTTTTAAAATTTGGCCTGATTTTTTCCTGGATAATTTAAGGGCATGAGTGGCAACACTGAATCAATAACTGTTTTTCAGAATCAGTAATCCCTTTAGGAAGAGTGTGTGCCCGTGCCTGCTGGGGAGCCCCCGGGGACGGTTGTTGAGACTTGGAGACTGCACTTTACACACCCGAGCAGGGATGTGGACAACTCTAGATGATTATGATTAACGTCTTCCTAAACGTGAGTTATTTCCCATCCTTTGTTTTGTGACCTTTCATCTCCCAAGTGTTTCAAAAGTTGCCATGAAATTCTCAGCATAGCTGCTGGAACTTCACAATGGCCTTGGGGACATCCCCTCTCCACATCTCCTCACCCACAGTACAGTGAACCTTTGAAAGGGCAGGTGGGGGGTTTTCCAGTGGTCAGAGAGAAGAGCCAGCAGGGCAGGCTGTGTGAGAAGTGGAAGTGAGGGAGAGGGGCTGAGGGCTGGAGGGGGGCACTGTTCTGGGATCTAGAATATTGGAAGATCGTGAACTCAAGGTGAAGAAATGACTTCTCAAGGCCCATTTCAAAGTTCCAGGGAGAAGCCCCAGAAGAGAATTTGCATGGGTGGCATGGGTGGATGATCTACTCACCATTCTCTTCAACTTGCCCCTGACCTCCAGAAATATGACCTTCTCCTTGGGGTTTGCTCTTTGTGATGCTGTCGCCACCTCCAGTCCTCTTAGAACACTTAAATGACACGAAGCCAGTGTTTCTTTGTTAATAAAGGAAAATGCTTATGGATCAGAGAGAGATGAGAGTTATGGATCTCCTCCATAACTAGTGGCTATAACTATACAATCAAGTGGCAGACTAAATTCTGCCAAACGCACACATATCATTGGCTCTTGAGTAACACAGGTTTGAACCACCAGGGCCCACAGTTTACATTTACAGACAATGTAAACTTATACTATTGATAAATGGTGCTCGGTAAATGTATTTTCCTTCTGATTTTCTTTTGTCTAGCTTACTTTATTGTAAGAATGCAGTAAATAATGCAGATAACATGTAAACTATGCGTTCATCGGCTGTTTATGCTATTGGTAAAGTTTCTGGTCAAGAGCAAGCCATCAGTAGTTGAAAAGTTTTAGATGGACTTTTGGATGCAGGAATGGGGGTCAGTGGCCCTAACTCCAGTATTGTTCAGTGGTCAACTGTACTTAGGTGTCAAACAAGGTCAGAGAGAATACTGGATTCTTATTTCTCATTTATGCAGAACTGTGAAGCTCATACCGTCTCTCTGGCCCATACTTATCTTTTTAAAAAATTTATTTATCTATGCATACAAGAGCTGGGGTGCAGGCCAGAGGTGCGGGGGGCGGGTGGGGTTGAGAGAATTCACCAGAGACAGAGTCGGAGCAGAACAGGCAGATCTACTGAAATACACTGTTGATGGGGAGCGGCAGGGAGACAGGAAATGTCTGCTGCGCCATGTGGGTCAGCTCCCTGGCCAAGGATCAAAGTCGTGCTGCAGTGGCTGCCCATAGCTTCATAATGCTGAGACTTAACCCCATGCACCACCAGGGAGGCCCTAAGCTCATCCTTATCTTGAACACCATTCTCTTCACCAAGGAGAAATTATTTCTACCACCCCTTAAGTTAATAGAAAAGCCCCAGGCAGATTCACCCATGTTTGCATAGCTACCCTGGAAAGTAGATTACTGATTAGAGACCATCAGTGTTAACTAACTACCTTTGGGATGTCGATTAAAGTACATGTTCACTCACAGATTTAGCAATTCTTGTGTGGCTATCCCCCACTAATGCCCATAAGTGATATTATAAACATCCTTCATGGAAATAAAACAACTCAGTCAAATCCCTGCTACTCTAGAGGAAAGCAGTGGACCAGTTTTAAAGGCATGTTCCTTAACTCCACAGCCTTTATTGCGATGGGTGGGGTGGCGGCTGACTGTCGCCATCAGAGTCTGCCTGCGGGGCACTAGAGAGAGACTTCGAGGTTGGCTGGAGAAGGGATGGCTCCCTTCCACGGCCAGACGCCAGGCAGTTACGCTTCCCTTTGTCAGCAGCAGCGGGTTCCAGCACCAGCTAGTTTCATGTTCCTGGTTGTTTTTAACATGGCCAGAAACAGCCTCCTCATGCTCTCCTCAGAGGCTGGGGCCCTTGCCTCATAAGGCTGCCTTCTTGTGCTCCTGAGGCACCAGAGCCAGCTCAGGGACTCCGGATGAGAGGACTGGGTCCTGACTCCAAGGCACCCCTCCTCTGAGCTTCCGGGCTATGGCAGTTCTGACTTCTTCCCTTGGTTGCCTCAACCCGGGGCACTGTCTTTGTGTTATGTCAGTGTTCCCATTTTGATTTTCTGAATTACCAACACCTGCTTTACTAAATCCCTGTATTCAATTTTTGTTAAAGTAACTGGTCTGGGTTCTGTTTTCCACATGGAATCCTGAGTGATATGGTTAGGGTCTAAAAATAAGAAGCAAAAGAACAAATTTTAGGAGCTTTGCAACGATACTTTCAAACCACAAGACTTGCTTGCAAGGAAAAGACTAGTAGAATATGATTGTGTTTGAATAGCTCAGGATCTAAAATGTCAGTGTGGCAGGCCTCTTATACTACTACTTTTCTTTTTTTTTTTTTTTTTTTAGAGCATGCTTTTATTTATTTATTTGTTTGTTTGTTTTGTTTATACATGCACTGGGTACAGTCAGAAGCACGGGAGGGTGGGAGAATTCACCAGAGCCAGAGCGGGGAGCAGAGCAGGCAGAAGAACCGAAGTACACTGCTGAGGGGAGCAGCGGGCGGCAGGAGAGGTCTGCGCGCCATGTGGGACCCTCCTCTGGTGGCCGGGGAGCAGCCGGGGATCGAACCGGCGCTGCTGAGGCCGCGGACTACTACTTTTCTTGTGGATACTCACAAGACGCAGCTCTGGCCAAGGAGACTTAAGTAGAATTGAGAAATATTTCCCCTACTTTCTGACTTTGGGGACTATGTGAGGCTATGATGCTTCTAGCCAGGGCAGTCATTTTGTGACCTTTAGAAGATTTTCCAAAATCTGGTTATCACAGTGATCTCACAGCAGCTAAGGGGGCACTGAGGCTTACGGGTCATAGACAGTGTGCTGGCTGGTCTCCAAAGATGGCTCCCATAATTCCTGTCCTTCCTCTATAACCTCTCTTTACCTCCCTTATTCCCCCGCCCTGTGATCTGGGCTGGCCTCCTTCGTGACTGACTTTTTGCTGATATTCTGGGAATTCTGGGCCCAGTTAATAAGAGGACTGACAGCTTCTGCTACTGTCTCTTGAGTTGCTTATTCTTGAGCACTCCCTCTCATAACCCAGTCACCGTGCTGTGAGATGCCCAAGCCATGTGGAGTGGCCACATAAAGAAGAACTGAGTTATGCTGCTCAGTAGACCCCGTTGAGATCACAGCATTTAGCCAGCATTTATTGGCAGCACATGGGCAAGCCACCTGGAATGTCCCAGACTACTTGGACCCCCAGATGATTGCAGTCTCAGTTGACTTCACATGGAGCAGAACTACCCAGCTAAGCTCAGTCAGCCAAGGGACTGTTAACAGAGAACGAACTGGTTGTTTAAGTCACCAGGTTTTGGATTGTACTGTAAGTAACAAGAGAGAACCAAACACACAGGAAGCCCAGTTCTGACACACTGGGCCTAAGGTCGCAGATAGGAAACTTGATGACATGGTTAATACGGCCCATCAAACCCATTCCAGCAGGAGTATTTATTCCTCTAGCAAATGATTCTTCTTAAGCTTGCACAGCAGGATATGAATTAATTATACTGGCTACTCGCAGAGGTTAGGGAAGGGCCTAAAATTCTTTGGGAGGTGGAAGGTGAAAAACTGGGTCTTGAATGGAAGGAGAAAACAAAGATGTATGCAAAAATTGCCGGTATAGAAATGGATGGGAATTTCTGCCGGTAAGTGAAGACAGAGGGAAGAAAAGGAGAAGCAGAGAGTGAAAGAGTGAGTGAGCAAGGACCAGGGTGAGAGTGAGACCAGAAAGAGAGTAGACAAGAAAAACCGACCACATGGCAGGAGGCCAGATCCCTGAGGAATTCCCAGGGGTGGGAGGGGCAGGGCTTGTAGAACAAGGTTGCTCAGTACTCAGTATTTGCTATAAACGTGTGTCTTTTGGAAGGTTTTCATCGAAATTGATGTGGAAATGAAACCACAAACTCAAAATTTTTGTAAATAGAGCCTTTGACATTTACTAAAAAAAATGCAGGTGAAAAGAAAGGAGAGCAGTTCTAAGTCAGAGCCAAATGTTAGTTTGCCTCGTTCTTAGCACATCGATTCTAGCACTTCTAACTCATGAGGACAAGCTGAGATGCCCCACCCCAACCCTGCCCACCTCCTTCCCAGAAATTATGTTGGGATCCGCAGGGGATGGAGGCTCTGCATTCACACACACAAAAAAGTGTTTGATTTTGCAAAGCATTCAAGTGTATATTTGGAAAACAAGGGCAGTCAAAGTAAAGAGAATGAATGTTCACCTGGGGAAAGATTCAGGTGACTATTGAAAAGAAAGAGAATTACAGTATTCGCACAGAACAGGGAATTAAATGTTGAAGGAGCAAAGCATTAAGAATCTATTTTGTTAGTTGAGTTTTTAACTATTGAGATCCATGACAGAGTTCTTCTGCTCTTTGGATAGCTGACTTCTCTCAGCTAGTGGAAGGATAAGGGGCTGCATTTCCCACCTGGGCAGAGATGAGAGAACAGAGTAGGCAGAAATGTGTGAAGAGACTCATCAAAGCTGAAAATCTTACCAAGAAGTGGCCAGGAAGGGCCTCCCTGGTGGCGCAAGGGGTTAAGCACTGCACTATGAAGCAATCCGCAGCCTCTGCTCTCGCCCGCTGCTCCCTTGAGCAGTGTATTTCTGTCCGTCTGCCTGTTCTGTTCCCCACTCTGTCTCTGGTGAATCCTTTCACTCACTCCCCTGCATCTCTGGGCTGTACCCCGGCTCTTGTATGCATAAATAAATAAATCTTAAAAAAAAAAAAAAAAGAAGTGGCCAGGAAATCACGAGACCCTAGGATATGCAGGCATTTGGGGACAGCACTGAATCTCTCACAAGGTTTGAGCTAAGCTCCTGCAGATCCAAAGAATAGACCCAGGTGACAATTTTAAGAGGGTTCCAAGAATTCGATCCCCTGTGTGCTCCAGACATCCATTGCAGGATCAACTTCATTCCTGTACATCTAGAAAGGCACTTTCTACCAACCCTTCTTGGGAGAACTGAGAAAAGAGCCTCCAGAGGAGTGTTCCATGTTTTGGGCTTCCAAGATCAGGCTCTAGTTGAGCCATCAGGCTTTTTTATAGCCAGAATGAGGTACCTCGTGAAGGGGTCAGAAGAGTTTCAGAGTTTCTAGAGGAAGACTTTGGCGCTCCAGGCCCTGGCTGTTGGGAGGTTACATAGTCCAGCCATCTGAAGCCCCTCATCTCCAAGGTGGACGGAACCTTGAGTCTCAGAATTCAGTCCCCTTATTTTCCTGATTGTGAGAGTGAAGTTCAGAGAGGTGAGAACATACCTCAACATCATAAAGGCCTTCTATGACAAGCCACAGCCAATATCATTCTCAATGGTGAAAAGCTGAAAGCATTCCCATTAAGATATGGAACAAGACAAGGATGCCCACTCTTACCACTGCTTTTCAACATAATACTGGAAGTCCTAGCCAGAGCAATAAGACAAGAGAAAGACATACAAGGAATCCAAATAGGCAAGGAAGAAGTCAAACTATCACTATTTGTGGATGATATGATAATATACATGGAGAACCCCAAAAATGCCACAGAAAAACTAATTAAACTAATCAATCAGTTTAGTAAAGTGGCAGGATACAAAATCAATGCACAAAAATCAGTAGCCTTCCTATACACAAACAATAAATCTGAAGAAGAAATCAAGAAAACCATTCCTTTTATTATTGAAACAAAAAAAATCAAATACTTGGGAATAAACCTAACAAAAGAAGTAAAGGACCTATACAAAGAAAACTATAAAACACTGTTAAAAGAAATAGAAGACAACACAAAGAAATGGAAAGACATCCCCTGCTCATGGATTGGAAGAACTAACATTATCAAAATGGCCATCCTATCAAAAGCAATCTACAGATTCAATGCTATTCCAATTAAAATGTCAATGTCATTCTTCAAAGAAATAGAAAAAATATTGATGAAATTCATATGGAGCTACCAAAAACACCGAATAGCCAAAACCCTCCTGAAAAAAAAAAGAAGGGAATGGAGGCATCACTCTCCCAGATTTCAAACTATACTACAAAGCCATAATAATAAAAACTGCATGGTATTGGAACCAGAACAGACACATGGACCAATGGAACTGAATAGAAAACCTAGAAATAAACCCACAGATCTATGGTCAACTAATCTTTGTCAAAGGAGCAAAGAATATGCACTGGAGCAAAGAAAGTTTGTTCAATAAATGGTGCTGGGAAAACTGGGTCGCTACATGCAAAAGAATGAAGCTTGACTACTACCTCACACCATGCACAAAAACCAACTTGAAATGGATTAAAGAACTAGACAAAAGACCTGAAGTTCAGAGAGGTGAAGTGACTTCCCCAAGGTCAAGGGTTAGTTAGGCAGGAGGGTTGCTCTAGGGCTCTTCTGAGAAGTAACTGCATGTACTTGGGGTGGATTGTATGACTGTCCCTCCCCCTCTCCCTGCCCCCTGCCATTCCCTTTCCAGTCTCCCTTCAGTCGCCCTCCTCTGTGGTTCATAAACTCTTTTCCTTTTGGACCAACAGCTGAGTTAATGTGATATGGAGCAGATCTGTGCTAGATATGTGGTGTGAATGAGAAATGCTCCTTTCTGTTTGAAGCTTTGAAGTTGTTTGTTACCACAAGCTCACTTTGTCTATCCTGACTATTGCTGTTTCTTCTGCATTGTCAGCAGGCTGTCAGTATTATCTATCAGTCTGCCTGGAAACTACCTTTCTATTGCTAGCTATTACTTTGCAATGATGCTACAAATTCACTTCCGATGAGTCTGGGTGGCCTGAGGAGTGTTTGAGTGGATTTAATCAACCTGGATAACTGGAACATCAGAGCCAGGAGTTTAGAAAAGAGACAGTGGCCTTGAGGCCTGCCTTGACCATCCTCTTCTCCTCTAGAGAGTAAGTAATGGACAAAAGTGGGGGGAAGGGTCATGGGGAATTGCAAACAGGCAACATTTCCTGACTCTGCACTTTTCCATAGGGCCAATCTTGATAGTACTGTACCTGAGCCTTAGAAGGTCCCTGCCTGGTACCCGGTACCAATTCCATGTGGCCTACCCTCTCACAGGAGACCATGCCTTATCGGGGCAGAAGAAACTGTCAAGATGGTGGCTTTTGGACTGTACCCTAAATATTAAATTTCCATTTCCATGTTAGCAGTACAAAGTCTACATTCTATATTACTTACTCAAGTTTTAAAGGATCAAAGAGGTTGAATTAGGGTAATCACTGGCTATTTATCACATTATGTCACTAGTGTGACCCGTGGTATGTTGCTAAAGTAGATCAGCTTCAGGTGAGGTAATGGTAGCCTCAGAATGGGATTATGTCATTGGAGAGTCACATTCTGGTTGAAAATATTGTCTGTCTGCCCTGTGATTCATACATCATCTTGAAGCAAATCCCAAACGTCCTATTTAAGTGAAAAAATTATTGGGTTGTTGGAAAAATCATGACACATTTTCCCTCTGTTTTTCAAAGAAAAAATACGTCATGACTTTTCCGACAACCCAATAATTTTTTTTTTTACTTTATTTATTTATTTTTTAGATTTATTTATTTATTTATACAAGCACTGGGTACAGTCAGAAGCGCGGGAGGGTGAGAGAATTCACCAGAGCCAGAGCGGGGAGCAGAGCAGGCAGAAGGACCGAAGCACACTGCTGAGGGGAGCAGCGGGCGGCAGGAGAAGTCTGCGCGCCATGCGGGTCCCTCCTCCAGTGGCCGGGGAGCAACCGGGGATCGAACCAGCGCTGCAGAGGCTGCAGGCAGCTTCGCAACCCAGCGCTCAACCGCTGTGCCAGCGGGGAGGCCCCCAATATTTTTGAATTTTTAGAATTTGGCTATTGGCCCCGACACAGGCCAAGTTACTTCAAGGTGATGCCAGAGTCAGAGGGTGATTCACTTCTGTCATGACACCCTCAAACACCAGGTCATTACACATCCCTCATATTTTAACCCACATTTTATAAAGTACTCTTTGGAAAGCGCCCTGAAGGAAATCTATCTGTAAAAAAAGTCTTCTTAAAGTACATTTTATATTTGGTATTTCATAAATAAAAAGGTACAAAGCAATTAAAACAGATAAGAGCAAGCTTTATGCTTCAAGAATTGGCAACTCGGGACTTTGGCAGTCAAGACAGAAACTATCTCAGGCCTGTATTAGGCAGGCAGCCATAACATCTCTCTGAAGTAACTGCCTGATAAACAAGATATTTTGTTTATGTATTATAAAAGGCTCACAAAGTCTCCATTATGTGGGAATGTTAAGTAAAACCCAAGTGACAACTGCATCCTAACACATGCCAAGCCTGATCTTGCCTGGCCTCGAGCGGCACAGCTCTGAGGACTGCTCTTTTCACAAATATTTGGATTAGACACTCTCCTTTCAGCCTTCCTGTTAGTGCAGCGCGCTGCTGTCCAGAAGGAGTGGTTCTCACGCCCTGGCCCAGCTCTGCAGCACCAGGGGAAGGCACCAGGCCCTGCATTCCTGCTTCACCCTGTGCTCCCCACTGCCTTTATGGCTTGCATTTTTGCAATGTTGGTTTCTGTAGAACCTTGTGACGTTTACTTGGATTAAAAGCAGCGGAGTGGTTAAGTGTGCGGACTCTGGGGCCCTGCCATTTATTAGTTGTGTGACCTTGAGCAAGGTCTCCTTACCCTCTCTGGGCCTCATTTCCTCACCTATAACATGTGTGCGACGGTAACAGTTCCTCCTCACAGGGCTGTCACAAGGCCTACATGGGCTTGGGCATATGAAGGCTGTAGGACTCACTGTTCCTGTTCTCAAACGCTACTTTGAGTCTCAGCTGTCACTATTGCCTCTAGTTACCGTTTCTGTGACTTGGAGCTGCATCAAGAGTGGGTCTGTCTGGCTCATCAGGACACTCAGTGACCAAGACACCTAGAAAGCCTTTCATAGCAACTGATTTGAGAACCCCGCCACCCAGGGGCACCTGGAGGCCAGGCTTCCGGGGAGCATTCTCACTGCACTTTGTTCCCTGGGAGGGACTTGGGAGCCCCAGCCTGGCGATGTCTCCTCCTCCTGAGAGGGGCCAGGGTGGACCTGGCGGTTCTTGACATCGATGCAAAGATGGATGGTGGACTGGTGGCAGCAGCCACGCTCTGGGGAGAGGGGAGCCTAATGATGGATCTCACTGTTATTTCCCAAGTGGAGAGAGCCTTTTACACCAGGACTTTGAAGTGAAGAGCATTGTCCCCAAAACATATGTCTTCGCTAGAGACTTTCAACCAAAGCTTCAGTCCAGAACCGTCCCCAAGCCATCTGCACAAGGTATTAGAAGCCCCGTCCTTACTAGGAAAGGGGATTCTGGAATGGGTCTGCCTGCCCAGGCCTGGTGTCCGAGATACTTGGTAGGGAAGCCCAGGGCCCAGAATATCCCATCAAGCTACAGCCTCCTGGCCACGCTGGCACTGTTGACTCTTGGCTAGCCTATCGCCATTCGTGTTTCCTTTGCCTACCTCACACTATAGAAGCGAGACAGTCAAGCAACACGTTTTCTGTGGGTGGTCACAAGACACAGATCTGGCCAAGGAGACAAAAGGAGAACTCTTAAGAATTATTTCCCCTACTTTCTGCCTTTGGGGACAGTGATGTGAGGATATGATGCTTCTAGCTGTGGCAACCATTCTGTGACCATTAGGTAGCAAGACCAAGGACCAAAAAAAGCCAATATGCTGAAGAAAGGTAGAGGAAGGGACACCCTTTGCTCAGGAATTTGACCTGGCTTTGCTGGTTTTCCCAGTTCTGTCACTTATCTTTCCCATGTGCTGGAGCTGACCAGCCACAGTCACTGGTTGAGCCCCAATGATGCCCTGCTTACCTGCACTAAGATGCAGAATCTCACCAGAGAGTCTTTCCATGGCGTCCCATTCATGGAATTGCACCCCTCTATGTCCATATCCTTCCAGACCCATGGTGTTCCTATCGTCTGGGACATTATGATTTAAGTTTCAGACCACCCAAGGCAGGGTTGGCTGTCTTAGGCACAGGCCCGCTCCGTCCTGCCTTCCTCAGGCCTCCCTGGTAGGCCTTCCACTGAGATGACATCCCAGCATGGCTGGCAACTGGCTCCTGCCCCATCCCTCCAACTGGCACCCACACAGCCTGGAAGTTTAAGACCCAGAGCAGCTCCTCTCACTCCTGAAGATTTTGAGTTCTAGATACTTTATCTCTCACACCTCAGAATTTCTCATGCT